ACACTGACCTAGAGGAAATATTGCGTATGTGTTGAGTACACGCAATCGGGCTTTCGGTAAATTCGTGCATACAAAGTTTATGTTGTTGACTGAATAACCTCAAGATCGATGAAAATATTTACAAGCTAGCTTTCGCCCGCGACTCCGTCCACGTCCATTAAAACAAAATTAAAGCCAATAGCCTATGTGTTTTTCCAGACTATCTACGCATGTGCCAAATTTCATCCAAATCTGTTCAGCCCTTTAAACTACAAATTCTAACATCCATCCATCTATCTAAACTTTCGCATTTATAATATTAGTAAGATAGCTCATACGAAATTGCAAAACCTATAAAAACATACTTCTATAAATATTCCATTCATAGAAATACGAATAATATCTTTAAATGCTAAAGTTTATTTCTTTGTAAGACATTGAAAAATGTGACATAAAGCCGCTCTTAGACTTGTTTAAACTATTTGAACACTTGCTTAATGAAGTTTTCTCATGCTAAAACTACACTAAGGAACCATGTTATGGTTTTTCAACTACTTGTGGTAATAAATCAAAATTAAATTATTCTGGATAGCGTATAATCTCTTTTCCTAACTAACCTCGCTTCTTTAATTTCTTAACACCTAAGTATAATGTGGCAGACGTCAGCGGACAATATTACGGTTCTGACTTGGAGCTGCGCCAGGTCCTTGAAGCTTTGCATTAAGCTTTATACGAATAAGATCTGAGAATCTATATAAATTTTATTTTTACTATAATTGGACGTTAGTATTCTTTTTATTGTTGATCTGAGACAAAAAATTGGAAGAAAGACAATTAAAAAAGAAAAATTGGAAATGCATACTAATCCTATTATCCATACTGAAAAAGACGATCTTGTAAGAGAAGGTACGCGCGAGTAAAATAAATAAGAAATAAACCAAACAACTTTTAATAAAATTTACAAATTAAACAAAAATATACACATATCAGCCTAGCATCGTATGTGACATCTGCTCGAACAATAAATGCTTCAAATATTTACAAAAGAATAAATAAAAAAATAAACATTCTTATTTTAAAAAAGGATTAAAAATAAAAATATAAAAAGGATTATTGCATCGCCAACACATACGTTTATAAAAGTATGAAATATAACGAAAGCACATATAAAATGCTCCAATTTCTAGTGTATTTTTACATTTTGACTAGCTTTTGCCCGCGACTCCGTCCACGTGAAAATAAAGGACCAAAAATGTGTAGCCTATGTATTCTTCCAGACTATTCTTTACATCCATCGAAATCCGCTCTGCCGTTTAGGCTACAAACTCTAACATTCATCCACGTAAAATTTCGCAATTACAATATTAGTAAAACATTTAAATCGTTAAAATCCCTGAAATTGTTTAACATATTGAATGTTCAGTGTCCGGTAATTTCTCAAACGTGAAAAATATATAGCGAATATTATTTGACTAATGTTGGGGCACTGAAGGCCGCGGACGATGCGGCTTCGCTGCAAATATTTTATGACGACATCAAACTGTAAATTGGTTTCAGAGAACCGCTCGTAAATAAACTTTTAGCAAAATGAATTCCATATGAATTTATTCTATCTATATTATATAGAATACATACCCTTTTGGGAATAAAAACTTTACAAATGCCTCGTTCAGGTTTTTAATATTTTTTTTAACAATTCCACTGATTTTACTCTATTTTCAATTCAGACAGCCATACTTCTGTATTACATTCTATAGTTGGCCTGCACAGATTTGTCAAGGGAGCTTTTTATCGCTCTTCGAACGCAGCCACCCCTTGCAGCATAAATTTTCACCCTCTACCTTTTTGTTTTCCATTATTTACGTCAAACGCTACAAAGTTTTGAAATAAAATTAGCCTTTCAGTTGACATATTCTAAGCGTTGAGATCTTTAATAATAATTTAATTATTAATAATTTAATTATTAACAATTTAATATTAATTTTACAAGTGGTTTTTAATTAACATCATAAAAAAGAAGCCCAATTTCGACTCCTACTTCATAAGAACATGTAAAATTACTTCTCACCCTTACTTCTATAAAAAAAAGTGTCACAATTCATTCGTAAAATTTTACCTCGTAACAACGTATAGTACATTGCTCCGAGAATATAACAAGGCCGGAAGGTAACATGACACTATTGAGGTGAGCTTGCAAACAATAAATCACAATAGGAGTACCCTAACTCGGCTCACTATCACTAAGAAATGTCTTCCTTTTATTACTTTTTATCTATTAACACACTAACCTTTTGTAATATTTTTACCTCAATATAATAACGTATAAGTAAGTAAAAGCAGTTCCTATTGATCATAGGTTTCCTCTCACAAGCCACGCGTTTCGTTCTTAAAAGAATATTTGGACTCGTAGATTATTTTGTATTGTTATTTCAAAAAATGTAGTAAGAATGACAAACCAGTGTTTTTAATTAACTTTGTACATCACTCTATTGATAGACTAGCTATTCCCGTGTGGTTTCGTCCGCATGGAATTACAAAAACTTTATTTTATTGTTTACATTTGTCAAACTCTCAGTTGCAAAAAAAAGATCCCATATGTTTTTTTTTTTCAATTTATTTACCCTCTAAGTTTAATAGCGTGAAAATATATACCAAATAGCATGTCGTAAGTATAAAGCTTTTTATTAAAGATAGCATTATTCAACAATTTACTGTTTTTGCTGATGTCCTATGCCACGAAGTAGTGTGCGTTTACGTTTTATGATATTAGCATCGTAGTTTTAATTAAAAAATAACGTTGTGTAGCGTATACAACAAAATAGTTTAAGATAAAGTTCTATACAGCGAGCTTAAAACTTTATGTTAAGCTCCTTTCAATTCCTTTCGCTTCTCAGTTAATGGATAATAAGCAGTAACAGTAAACGTAAAGTTATATTGCAATGTACGTACATTTGTTCTTTGACCCATTTATAGGAACATATAACTAAATTCCAAGAACATATAAAGTGGACAACTTTACAAATAATCAGAAACAAATAAATATTTATCTACTTAACACACGGATTTAAACAATTGAACACTTTAATATTTGGAATATCGAAACGAAATATCGGAGTTTAAAAAATCACCGTTTTAATTGTATGTACATATTCAGAAACCTTTCATTATCATGCGGAAGGGATCGCATGATTTATATTTTACGTGAACCACACATATAACGATGTTACCTTTGATATTATAACAGCTATAGGTAACATGTAAACTGCGCCCTTTTTATATACACAAATATTTTCGTCATATAAACCATTCATTCCCTCGTATGATATAAATAAGTCGCATATAAATCATCAACTATAAGTTTACTAATTAACAAGCTCTTGCTCGCGTGAAATTAAAAAATAGCCTATGTTACTCATTGATAACGTAGCTTTTTATTGGTGAAATATTTTTTGAAATCGGCCCAGTAGTTTTTGAGTAATTTAATTACATACAGAAGTATAAAAATACAGATCTTATAAAGATCAGATCTCTAATATTAGTATAGAAGTATAGATATCAAATGTACATTATATTTTATCTAAATTTCAACAATAAAACCAATGTAATTCCGAATTAATACCGATATTAGTTAATGCACTTTCCTTGCAAATATTTAATGCTACAAGCAAAATAACAACAGAAGGAAACAGAACAAGATTCCAAGCCGGTGTAATTGACTCACGTATTGGTGAGAAAATATATGGTATAGAAAATAACACATTCGACCTTTATTAGGATTGTATTGGTTTTACCATACATATTATTTATAATACAAAAACAAAAAGGTTTGTTGTTTAAACTATGATTTTTTATAATCTATATCTACGAGTGTACTAATATTATAAAGAGGAAAGATTTGTATTCTTGTATGTATTGAAATAACTCAAAAACTACTGGACCGATTATCAAAATTCTGTCATTATTAAAAAGCTACATTATTAGTGAGTAACTTAGACTATTTTTTTAATATCAAGCAAAGTAGTTAGTTTTTTATATCATCTCGACTCAACAACGTAAAAATTGCTTTATCGTTGAAATTGTTTCATTTCAATCCTTAAGACAGTCGATATTAATTTAATTTTTTATTTCAGTGATGTTATTTTAATTACATGCTCATTTGACAGTAAACCGCCAAGGCTAAGCGTGAAGGGAAGTATCGATCTATGAAAATCATTATCGCCACTAACTTCATAGAAACTTAGCATTGTGTTTACAACGGATATAACGTAGATAACATGCTATTCACTCGCGCCCTACACTATACCTGGGATACTAAATTGTTATTTACGTTATTTATGTAAAGGTTAATGTTTTTAACTTTCAATAAAACAGACAGATATAATAATATCACGACCACAGAGAATACAGTCGCAAACTTCGCTTTAAAAAAAACTTACTAGCTTACCTAAGCATAACAACATAATTTATATTTTCATTGTTACTTTATTTTTTACTAGCACTTTATAATGTGTAAATTCTTTCATGAAAATATAAGCGTAAATGCTATTATTTTTAGAAACAATTTAATTAAAACATAAGCTACTCAGATTCAAATACAAATAGGAATTCAAAACAGAAAACAGATTTGAGTTATGGCTTTAAATTGCAAACGCTTTTCCGCAATATTAATGCAGAGAACGAGCTACGAAAGTAATATTTTAAAAACATCCTTATTCGCAGCCAACATTATAAAAAGAGGCAATTTCTAAAATTGTTTTCATTAAAAAAAAGTTCATTTCTTTACGTAATATCCAATGTTCGGTTTCGGTTGATTTGAATGTCTACATTGGATGGGAACAGAAAGCCGTCTGTCTGTCAAATTCGTTACTTGGATAAAGGAAATTTGAACGGAGTATGCTTTGTATTATTAAAGGCCTGAGAATTCGGGTCGCTGGACGAAATGCACTGACTATAGTCCGTTGTTTCAGTTCCGTTCTATTCAGTAACCTGTGAGCTGGATATTCAGTGTGCCGGCGGGAATCCTGCCGAACGGACGTGTGACTGTTTTTGCAGAAAAATAATTTCCATTGTAACGTGCTTGAAAAAATTTTTGTTAAAAAGATTAAATTAAATTATTTTATTTTACATTTAAGTTTTTAATTTAATAATCGGGAAAGTGCATGTGCATAAGATCAGATTATTGGTGAGTAAAACATGTAAAACTCATAGTAAAACTATAAATAACCAAGTAATAAAAGTTTCATATCACATTTATACACAATGTTTAATATTTATAAACAGCTTTCACCTTAAGTCAGTCCGCATGGAATTAAAAAAAGTGAGTAGCCTATGTGTTCTTCCTGACTATCCTCTACATCTATACCAAATATCAACGAGATCCGTTCAGCCGTTTTGGTTACAAACTCTAACAAACATCCATCCATCTAAACTTTCGCATTTATAATATTAACTAGTATAAAGTGAAATTAAAAGACAAAGGTATATACATCTTTAAACTATAGTTTAATGAATCCTATATTTTTTTTGAAAAAGAGGAAACCCTATTTTGCTTTCTTTTATGTATCTCTATGTAGTCATTTTAACAACCATAAAAAATGTATTTTAGCATTGTTAATTAATCTTTACATGGCTTGTTACAAGACGAGTTTTTACAAGCTCCATTGATTAGTGTAGTCTAGTGGTTTCTATTTTGGTCACAAACTAGAAGAGTCGAGTACGTCACATTTCCACTTTTTTCTGTTTGATAAAGTTAATTTAAAAAGTAAAAAATATTTATTAAAAAATAATTATTTCTGACCAACAGAACTTTATTCTGTTGTTACATTTTTATTTATGTTGTTTCTTATTATTAAATGGAAAGGAACTAACATAAAGACTTTCAAGAAGTTAACTGGACCAAAAGCGTAATAATATAGATAATCACTGGTAAAAATAAGAATTTTAAAATAAATAATATTAAAAAAGAAAAAGATTTTTTCTGTTGTAATTGTACAACTGTTTTACATCAAAAATAAATTACACGTCAGAAAAATAATTTAGTAAAAGGCACTCAACCTAGTTTCGGTTTCAAACGTGCCAGTAAAAGAGAAATTTTCCACTACCACATATTTCAAATTCAGTTCCCTTAATAGCTCACTTCACTAAAGCGTCAATGTCAATGATAATTTACTACTAAATGAAACATACCTTTCGGGTTTTTAAACAGTTTTCTGACAAAAAAATATGAACGAAAATTCAAATATGAAAACGATAAAATATGCAATAATAGTAAGACAGTTTACTTAAGATATTTTTTTTTAAATCATGTAACAAAATGAGTTTTCTATAAATCCTTTACATGGGGTGGTTTATGTAGGCAGTGTCGACTTCGCGCTCACAAGACGTATTATCTCATATCTTCGTGTAACGAAAACAAATGAGATTTTGCTCCGTATTTGATACATAATAATCCCAGGAACCATGTCACGTGTAGATGTGGCTTTTTGCTGTCAATTTCTTACACCTGAACAAATTTCTTATCTCTGTTTTTATCAATGAGAAAGAGTAAGTTTATTTTGTCTTAGTGGATAATGTATTCTAAAATCTTAGCCTTAGAAAGAAACCTAATCAATGATTATTTCAATGGAATTCGTCAATCGTTAATTGGTTAAGCGAAAGCAGAAAGAAAAACTTTATGGAAAGTAAGAAAACAGTTTCAAGCACCTTTTGTTCTACAAAACATTGTTTTCTCTATAAGAAAGTACTTCAATAGTCATTTAGAAAAGATAACATCGTGAAAAAATAGTGTATTGTAATCAAATATTTATTTCCTTAGCTTATTTTTTATCTGTTTTGTGTCTGTATTTTCTAGATGATTGTTTAGTAATTTTTCATCTTTCGTAAAACAAAAAATACTTTGTAAAAACTATAGATCGAAACATTTTGTGGTTATGTATTTTTTTACACAGTCGAACTAAGTCATGTGTCAAGTCAACCATTTATGTGATAAATAAATGAAGGAAGGTATCATTAACCTTAAGGCAACAAATTTAGGGCGAAAAGCAATGTTTACTGAATTCCATGTTGCGTGACTGCGTGACACTACATATACTATGTATGTATGTATAGTAGTTTTAGAGCGTGCGCACACCTAAAACTAAATTATCGCACAACTATTCAGTCTCGCTTTGATTCCTATCAGCTTTTAAGCAGGTGCGCACACTACTCGATGTTTTGTTTTGCAAATAAACAGTTGAATGGGCTACGAAACAATCGACAATCGCACAACAGTTGTCAGTTGTGCGATAGTTTATTCAAAGGTGCGCGTCCTTAATTCATTTTTAATGCCCTTTTTCCTATTGTTTAGAATAAAATGACACGGTCAAGGACAACAGAGTCCTTAGGGATATTAGAACAGTTTAGCACGAACGCCGCTTCAACCACAACTCGTACAACGACTGCCGCCAACATGGCGTCGGTTGCCAAGTCCAGCTCTGGCGGGAATAAAAGACCTCCCATCATCATATATCCTACAGGTATGTTCTTTTTAACATCAGACATCTTGACAAACGAATCTCTTGCACTTAGACTCTGGTATTCATATTACTAAGACATTTCTAAATGATATGCTGCAATGTTTTCTACAATTCTCGACACAAACATAACGTCATTAATATTAGGAAAATATGTATCAAACTAGCTTTCGCCTGCAACTCCATCCGCGTGCAGTCAAACTTATTAGCATAAGTAACGTTATGTTTTCTTTCAGACTATTTTCTACATCGATGACAAATTTCGCTAATATTTTTTTTGCAGTTTAGGGTACAAACTCTCAAACATCCATCCAACCATCTATAAACTTTCGCATTTATAACATTAGTAAGAAGTAAGATTGATTAATTGACCTAACGCAACGCCTCCTAGTTATTATTTATTAGTTATCATTAAAACCATAATGTTCTCATATCTGATGGTTTTTACGATTTAGCAGACTATAAAAGCTAATGGGCATCTCCTTAATGTTTGGGGCACTCTCAGAGGAACAGTGTGCGCCGTATTATCAATTAACATTGAACGTAATTTCGACGCGATCTCCTGTAGTAATAATTTACCTATAGGAAATTTTGAATACGTTAGATAATTAATTTTATAAGACCTAACACTAACTAAATTTGATGTTACAAATCTTTAAAAGATAGTAATTACTGCTAGAATATAACAAACATTTTTTTTTGTGTGGGTAACGCAGTCCTTTTTGCTTGTTAGTTTAAAATTTCTATTTCATTATTATAATTTTATAACACAGTAGATTAGTAAATTTAAATTCATAGCTAATATTGCGGAATCTTGTTTATAAAATGAAAGTTATTTATATAATTTAATTAAATATCTCTATGTACAGTAAGGCTTTTAACAATAGTAATAATTTCATTAACTTCATGATACGCATTTTTCCTAATACCATCTAAACGTCTAAATGCGGAAAAAGGAGCCTTAAATCTTAATCTTCCTTGTTAAGAAAGAGCGTCTTAAGATATTTACCTTAATTAATTATTCAAGACTATTACACTTGCTTATTTATTTTTATTTAATTCTAAGATGAAGTATACTATCTCGTCATCATTCAGTCTTTATGCTTTGCTTGATCCCCACACATCATCGAGATTTATGGTTTAAGAATTAACAATTCACTTACTTAAGGTAATTAACTAATGCTAAACATAACATTTATAAAAGTCCAGCTTTCGCTCGTGACTCCGTCTGCGTGGTATTGAAAAAAACAAAAGTGAATAGCCTATGTGTTCTTCCAGACTATCTTCTACATCTATGCCAAATTTCATCGAAATCCGTTCAATCGTTTAGGCTACAAACTCTAATAAACATCTATCCATCCATCTAAACTTTCACATATATAATATTAGTAAGATTATTACTGCAAGCGTACTAAGAGTTTAATCATACGAATATTATAAATGCGAAAGTTTAGATGGATGAATGTGTGGAAAGATGTTTGTTCGTTAGTAGCCTAAACAGCTGAACGTATCTAGGTGAAATTTGGTATAGATGTAGAACATAGTCTGGAAAAAAACATAGGCTACTTGCTTTTATTTTTTCATTCCCCGCGGAAGGAGACGCGGGCAAAAGCTAGTACAAGACATGAACTAAATGTAGGTTGTGTCGAAACTTGACGTACAAACAAGAATCGTTATTGAGTTGCATCGAAATATGTAACACATTATTACAAATGTCCATTACTCGATTCAGACTACAAAATTCAGTCCATTTTTGGGAGCGATAAGGTCAATTTTACGCTCATTTGTTATCCGCAAAACGAATTATTTTAATATGCCGCATTAACATATTCCATTAATCAAACAATAAATACACGTCAAATGAAATTATTTTCGTAACCGCTGCTGAATCCGTAATATGTATAGCATTTTATTACTCTGTGGTGATCGACTTATGTGAGCTTTGTTTGAATAGCTACGTACAATATGTATGTACAGTCGGAAAAATTGGCAGTGTTCCAAGTTAAAAACTACAATCGTTTTAACATTTTGAAACGGGACGCGGAATAAAAATCAATGCAACGCAGCCTTTAAATGTCTCTGTACGATAAAAACCTGATACACGGCTAGTTTCTTTCTATTAATAACCCTTCATTTGCACCACTTACTGCTATAAAATTAGTTATCTGTAGGAAGAGGCGGAGTTTGGCTTGTTGCAATGAACAAGGTGATTTTTCCTTAAGTGGGACACCGAAGATTTTCGCAATTGTACCACTGCAAGCATACTGCTGGTTTGATTTCTTTTACTGATCTACGTGCGCTCTACACTACATTTTTGTACTTGACTTCATATCTACCCCCTTCTTCTTAGGTCGTCAAAATTCGTTACATGAAAAAGAATAAAAAGGTAACAAACTACAGGAGTAAGCTAGAGAGCTGGTATGAATTTATAAGAGAGATGTTGCTTGTGGAATTTTTAATAACGAAATCACTTTGTTTCAGTTACACCGGAATCAATAGTGGTTCCAATCGTTTCGTGCATATTTGGTTTCCCGTTGCTCGCGTTAACAGTTATCTGCTGCCTCAGGCGGAGAGCGAAATTAGCAAGGTAAGTAATCGTAAGTAAATTGTTTGTTATGATACAAGGGTTTATTAAGTTTAAATCTGTATGAATCACGATATAACATAAACGAGTACCTTAATTATTTGTAGAGTATATTTAACAAATATCTTTTATTTCTATCGTATATTATTATTCTTATTATGACATAATTTTAATCTACTTTTAGGTACAAGATATGTCGTAATAAGGACCAACAATCTGGTCTAGAGCATAACGAATTAGGTCCAATAATTCTGCAGCGATTGTCCTGCAGTTTGTGGTTATTTAAATATTGAATATAAATGTGACGTCTAACTTAGTAATTCTACATTTTTCTCATAGAAAATAGAATTGGCCTTAATTTTCGTAACAGATTTTCCCAATAGGATACAATGAGGGCACATTTAGGCACTCGTAACTGTCGCCGGCGCGCGTATCGATGACATAACCTTGCTTTTATTTTTATCGGTTTTGCTGTGTACCGTGTACCAGAGCGGGTACTTCGTAACTTGATTACACCATTTTATTACAACGCTAGGATACAGCATAGCTTTTCTTGCAAACAAAGCGATTCTAGAACAACAATAAAAGCAACCGTTAAATGTATACTTAACCTAATATCGACTAGAAATTATAAAAGATTTTTGCTAAATTAACTTATTGTTCCTAATATGAAGATTCATTCCTCTACCAAGTAATTAAATTACTTTATTTTAATAGAGAACGCGCAAGACGTCGTAACTGTGAATTGGACAGAGGTGAACTCTCTGTGGTTAGACTATCTCCTGTGAAGAATCGTGCTCGTGCCGTCAGCCTGGTGCGCTCTCCACGCCCTCTGCCTACACTAGAACTGGACACGGTGCTTGAAGAGCGCTCGGACCCAGAACAGACCACGTTATCTCAGGTTTATTTTTATTATACAGTTTTACGACAATGAATAAACCGGACATTTTCTACGTAGTACAGTTTTACTACTTTTTAATTATGTTTTACTTAATTACGTAAGGTTTTTATTATACGAGTTCAAATGTAAAATTCAAATTATTTACTAACTAAGTTTAATAGCGAGAACATATATAGCCTAAAGCGTGTCATAAGTGTAGAGCCTTTTATTTAAGAATGTATTATTCAAAAATATGCTGTATTTGCCGACATTCTACACCACAAAGTATTGTGTGTTTACGCTTTATTATATTAGTATAGATAGTACAGATAGAAGTTTAGATAAAAAATTAAAAAGGTGTGAAATGTAAGTACTTATAATGCTTGTGACTTAACTCTAAGTATATCGAAGTATCAATTACCAGGTTGACATAACACCTGACCGTGAGGTGGGCACGATACTGTTCGGTGCGATGGGCGCGGTGGGCACAGCGGCGGCTGCAGCGGCGGCGTGCGCTCGCGACATCTAGCGGCGCGACTCGGTCCAGCTCGGCGCTCGCTCGCCGCTCTGGGCCGCACTCACCAGTCAACCTCTGGATGAGGAGGACGTTGAGGAAGCATCTGTCAGCAATGACAGCTAGCAAGAAATTGAAGAACACACTGTTGTCGATATCGGCAAACATATGAAACTGTTCTTGGACATTCCACTTAGGTTTTAATATGAATTCAAGTGCTAAGGTGTAATATTACGATTTTGCGATCGTCTATATATGTACCTACAAGTGTGTGGACCTGTATTATGAAAGAACTGTTAATCACATGTAAGTATTTTAACTAACTTAGAGTACGTGTAGTCATCCTTTATTTTTCATCCTACCTCGAAAAAGTGTTACGTAGAACCTAAGTCTAATTTAAACTTATTTTTAATTTCGCAAAATCAGATATGTGACTTAAAATTTAATTAGAAGACCCGTAGACTGCCTAATTGGCTAAATCTATTTTAAGGTTTTATAATGACCAAAAAGTTATCTTTAAGAATCGCTGTATAAAAGCTCTGACCCAATTCCAAATAATTAAGTTGCCTTTTGTTCTAATTTTAATACTGTTGGTGCATATTTGCATTTTGTATGCACAATGAAGTTTGAATTTGTTTAACACTAGAATATTTATCAAAACAATGAATAGAATAGTTTCAAGAGTGGCTCATAGCCTGACTTTTATTCCATTTTTTTAAAATGCTTTAATACTCCTTAAAAATGTTGGTATCAACTGAAAGAAAAATAGCAATGTATTATATTAGGGTTTTTTTTAGTATTATACTGAAATTGTCGTATCTTTATGTAATTAGATTCGAACTTATCCTGTTATGATGTATTTTTGTAAATAGAAATATGTACAAAATTTTAAATTTAAAGAAGAAAAAAAGAATCGTATTTAATTAAGTATGTATACTATATTTATATATCTTAAGTTAACTGTAGTTTATAAAAATCCGAGGTAACCTTAGTTTTCTTCAGTAAAAGGAAAACTATTTTACAATACTCTTCAAACTTATATTTGAAAAACCTTAGGAACAATGAAAACTATGTAGAAAAAATATGAAAATCCCATTCAAACTTTATAATAGCATCGCATTAACATATGCGCTGCGTATTTGCTAATTAGCCGTTTTACGCAATAATTAAAATCAATCTGAAATATTTGCAAATACATGAATGAATTGTCGACGCTTACAATTTTGTATTAAATGTAAATATTAAGTGAAAAATAGTGTCTGTTTAATGTAAAAATTGATGTAGCAAATAAATTATAGTACTATTTGTTTTGTTTATTTCTATTTCTTGTTACGGAACATAGTAAATACCTTTAATTTGATGCAAGGGGTTAATCCAGATCTCATTTCCACTGTACGTAAAGGACTCACCGCAACTTTGAATAATTTACAATTAATTAAAAAGTACAATTATACAATAATCAGAACAACTACAGTCAGCTAAAAGTTACAGACATACTTCTTATATCGACGTAAGTTTTTGTACTTCTCTAATTGATAAATCAATTAATACATGATAAAAGACATTCAATAGTGATTTATCAACCGTCATTCAGTATCAATAAAAAGAAATAAACCACTATACCATATTTTATATATCAGAAACGTATTTGATTTCATTTTCATATTCCCGAAGCCAACAAACATTAAAGAACCCTTCTATTGTAAACAGAACGTAAGAAAGCCACGCAGTTTTCTTATCACAAAGTACAAATGTATTGCGAATACCATATCTAGGGATTCCTTTAATCAAATCATGGATTTATTGTTAATAATGCTTGTGAGATAAAATTATAAAGAAAATGAAACATACGTTTTCCGTCACATGAATATAAGCAATATAGATATCGAACACGACTAACATGTTTATTATTAAACTTTAATAATTTAATAATAATTATTAAAATGTAATAGTTAAAGTTTATATTCAATAGGCATTACAATTGTGTCACTTGGGTCAGGACCACAACGCTGTTTGAATTTTTTTTTTAAATAATTATAAACATATTTAACAGGTAGTTTTAACGAATTAATAATAATGTAATCGGTTCAGTAGGTTTATAGTTAATCCTACACAAGCAAATCCTTCATAATGCTGTTTTAGTAAATCTAACAAACGTTTTCTTTACAAGCAAACTGCATTGTTCGCAAAAGCTTTCCCGCGATGCACAAAAGCTAAGCTAAATAGGAATTATTATCTGTTTAAGCTTATTATGCTGCAAGAGGAAACTTTGCATTTCTATTAAGTTTAAAATAAACGGAAACAAAACTGCAGTATTAAATATAGTTAATGTTAGAAACAACTAAGTCTACGAACTTTGTATTAGACTTTCATATCACAGGTGCAAGCAAGCACAACTCACGCTATCACATACGAACTACTCTACAAAATTTACATACTTACGTAAAAAACTTAATGTCACACTTGAATACGTAAACTATAGTTTTTATACTATTAAATATATTAACGCAGTAAAAACTCATGTGTGAAAAGTGAAAATTTTCTTTTGCCTAAAAATCTACTAAAGTATCTCGTCTCAACGATTTTCGACCAAATAAGGCATATAATAGTACCATCTAATTGGCACTAGACCTCCGTTTGCCTCTTATAGTTCCTATTAACCCTTTCTTTCACAACATATATGTATAGGGAGAAATTTACCGGCCTCTACATAAGTAGGTACATTCAGTTGCTATACTAAATGTATTTATTTTTAACGTAAGTATTTCAACGTTATTTCATACCAGAAAAATTTAATTTGTTACGCTCGCTAAGGGCCCGTTAATAACACAAACAATTACGCTGTTATACAAGAAACAGCTCATGTAATTGAATCTTTAGCCGTGTTTACTTTTAATTATAAATACGGCGCCGCCTTTGTGTATCATCTATACATATAAAAAAGTTGGAGTGTCTGTTTGTAATATCAAAAGAAAATTTCTGCTTTGCTGCTGTGGCTGATAACGAAAATCGCATTTAAAAGTTTTTTGTCTGTCTGTCTGTTTGTCCGCAAGGCGCGTTTGTTCCAGGTAATCTCCGACACGACTGGGCCAATTTCGACCGGACTTCCACTGAAGGATAGCTGACATAGACTAGCATAATAAAGGCTACTATTTTATCTTAATATTGCGTAGACGAAGTAGCGGACAACTAACATGTGATTTATTATTAAACGGACTAAAGTATGTTCAAGTATTCTCTAGTGAGGGTTGATTTCTGAATAATTCTTACGAGGGATATTGCAGCGTCTGACTTAAATATTTTTTAATGGAAATCATACCTAACATCATGGTTTTTAAACTCATATAGCCTGCGCACTCGCTTTGATTCCTATGAACTTATATGGAGGTGCACTAAATCACTCGAGTTTTAGATGTACAACTAAACAGGTGAATTGACTGCGAAACCATCGACAATCGCATAACAGTTGTGCGATAGTTTATTCAAAGATGTACCCGCTCTTGTACAAACGTAAAAAACAATTTTTGTACGTTCTTCTATTTTAAAGTGCTTAAGAAACCCAGTCGGTATATCTTTTGTTGTGAACGAACGGTAAATGATAAGAGTTATTCCGATTTCCCGCAAACATTAAAGTATCATTTGCCTGCCGCAGAGTTATATCTCATTCTAAATACCGTCTGAAGATATTGAAACAATTTTAATATTTATGAGACAAGATGTCATCTTAAGATAATGTTGAACGAAATACTTTTTGTGTTAAAGATGAAGTACTTTTTATGATGAATGAAGAATGACTTTTTCTTCGATCTTTTACAATAAGAAACGTGAAAAAAATCAACTTAATACGTTGAAATCCTCACATAAAGAAAATTAGATCATTTTTACTAAGATTTTTTTTTTAGATACGATATACTAAACTCTACAAGAATATTTAAACTTGAAATAATAAAACTGGAACGCATTACAATTACTAAACTCAACAAAGACCTAAAATAACTGGCATGAATTTATATTCGCTTTGTCACGTAATCACACGCGAAGTGGGCATTATTTCGTTTGTTTTGTTTGACTCTGAACTACATTTCAGACCTATTTACAATATATTTGGTTACCTGCTTCACGATTATTTCTGTGATATTGAAATAAAACCTACATAATTTTATAGCAACGTTTATTACATGTCGAATTGCAAACCTTTTATTAAAAGGCGCCAAAAGTCTTCACATTATTTCCTTAATTTCTTAAAACTTCAAAGTCTGATACAATTGTGTGGGTGTTCTTTATTAGACTTGTAATATTGTATCAAGACTAAATGAAGTAAATACGAAGACTAAATAAACAATTTAATATTCAGCGTCATAATTCTTTCATTTGACGGTTATAGTTTTTAAAGCGTACACGGAATCTAATTAAGTTGCCTTATGAAGCAATGAAAGCTTTAAATTAAAAAGATTTGAATCTCTTTAGATTAGGCCCGCAGCGATGCGTCTCAGTAATTAACGGAGACGCAATATTCTGTCTAGAACTAAAGCGTTTAAATCTGACGGAGTATTATTTCCCATAAAAAGAATATTGTGAGCCTTAACGATATTAACAACTACAATTAAATAATTTTATGTTGAACTATCTATTGCTTGCGATTATAAAATGTAGACAATGTTACTCACTGATAACGTAGCTTTTCAATGGTGAAAGAATTTTTGAAATCAGCCCACTAGTTTTTGAATTATTCCAAAACATACAAAAAACAAATCATTCCTCTTTAAGTATTATTTTATATTGAAAATACATCACAAAAACGCATTTTACAAATTTTCAGTATCAATTTAACGATCTACATTTTACCAATTATTGTATAATTTGAAATTTTCGATTGAAAAGTTCCTATAAATTGAATAGTCTCAAAATACATTATTTGATTGCTCAAATCTATTCGAGCTGGGTATCAACTATTCAAATCAATTAACCGCACTCTATCGGTTTCCATCAACCCGAGTGTATACAATTAATTTAAATTGATGAATGAAAACCGTATTTTATTTAGACTACATTAAAAATAATTTGTTCAGTAGGGAAGCTTGCTAATGTTCTATTTCCGTATAAGTATATAACTTAACCTCAAAAACGTTTTGTAATTCAAAAACCTTTTAACAATATTAGCACACATATAATGGTTAATTACTTTTAATTAATCTTTAAAAATTAACACTCTGATACACGTTAAAGTATGTAAAGTATTTCGCAATATATACAATGACCTCTTAACAAAATATGGTCACTTCACAAAAACCAATAAAACTGTCCACATTTCGTAACAGAGCATGACTTAAAACATTACATGCGTACATTTGTGTAACAGTATAATTATTGATGCTTAAATTCTTTAATGCCAGGTCTACAAGTAAGACTAGTTTAGTATTTCGTAAACTCTATGACCCTTTCTTATGTCTTTGAACTTAGCAACTATTTAACACGTGGCCTAAAACACGCCCAAATAGAGACTGCAACCTTCATACATCGTGCCATAGATGAGAAAAATATCTGCTTCATCATTCTGACATTGCAACTTAATTAATATATGTTTCCACTGACGAAAAACTTGTAAAAAATTATTGGCATCCCTATAATTGTCTTTTAATAAACAGAGACCGCGATATGTTATTTCACATTTAGACATTGTAATAGATAGATTGTTTTTATAACGTGAAAAGGCCTCCATTGACTATTAGTGTTACGCACTGTAAACGATTTTAAGGTGAAATGTTTGAGCAACATACCCTGGCCGGTTCTTGGTTCGATTGCCTTTAAACACATTTAAAAACAAATCAAATAATTTAACATGAAATGCCCATAGACTCTCGAGATATGTAGTCCCAATACAGAACATATACAAAAACATTATCGTTGTCTCTGGTTTTTAAAATAAAAATAAAGGTGGAATATCAATATTTAAAATAGCGATTATTTTAACATTTTACCATTTAGTATTTTTATTTCTACGTAGTCTTCCGGCATAAATAACATTTAAAGAGAAACATCAAAAAGCATATTTTTCCTTCAATAAAGTTTTTTAACGTGACCCGTATGGTAAAAGACTAATAAACGGGACTTCCCAATTGAGATTTGTATTAAGTACATTTATAGCTTCACTAGTAAAAACTGGATGTGAAATGAACCGGTCTGTAATTCTCAGCTATTTTATCAACTAGGTGTTGCCCGCGACTTCGTCCGCGTGGTATAATATAGCTACGTATCCCTCAGGAAACGGACGTTTCTCGGGGATGAACCTTATCCCAAGTGTACTCTAGAGTTTGTTTTATATCTATGCCAAATTTCAATACGATATGTTGAACCGTTGCAGAATGATCGAGTAAACATTAAAAAATTAAATTAATGAATCCCACGGGAACCGTAACTATTCCCGGGATAAAAAGTAGCCTATGTGTTCTTCTAGACAATGCTCGAAACCTGTGCCAAATTTCATGGAGATCCGTTTAAGCTATAAACGCTAACAAACATCCATCCATCCATTGTAACTTTCGCATTTATAATATTTATATGATATATGAATATGATTTTAAAACAATCAAAATAACAAATCCATTGTAAGTAATATGTCTTACATATGTCTAATTAAACACGTATTTTGTAGAGTGAAGAACTACCGGTAACAATTGATATAACAGATATCAGAAAAAGTGTCAAGAGCCACTTGCCCTTGTATTACGTCTGTTAACGCGAAACGACTGTCAAGGCGAAGCAATGTTTGCTTACAAGTGTTATGGATGAGTGCATTCAATAGTATTCTTCAGTCAGCCTAAACAGTTCAAGGTTTAATCTATTTGCGTTTTTTATAGAAAAACGGGAAAAGAAAAAAAAACAATTGCTAGACATAATTGAAAATGTTTGCATTCAAACCGTTAAAAATTTATGCACATCCCTAAACCATAACTCTTATTATTTTCAAACATAATTATTTTTTAATCTAGTTAATAATTATTAAACAGGGAAATCAGTAAAAACATATAATTTATAATAAGTTACCTCATGAAAATTTTATTCCTTTTTAGTGTAAGAGCTTTTTATTTATTTCATCGTGGACCTTATGAGGAAAACCTTTAGTAATAATATTTATAGACTATTAAAGCGAGCAAATAAACTCACTACTGTATCGGAGACATTGTAAGCGTGACATACATCAAGATGAGTGATCATTGACATAGTACGTAAATAGTTGTGATGGAATGCAAATAAGAATCCATCCTTGTTATCACAACTATACTTAAAATACTACCTTATTAACAAGAAATTGGGAAAAATAACATTAAATAAATACGCCAGTTACACGGAATGGATATACATGAAATAATGCAGGTTCCATAAAGATTTTTAATACGAAAAAGCAACATAGCTATACGAAATACAATATAGCTATACGAAATATTATAATCATAACATAAGTCTGCGTATCTCTCGATATTCGTAAAACAAAACTAAAATTCAACATAACAAATGTAATATTTGAAACTAAAAACTATAAAAATAACCTTTATTATTTCAAACACAATATTGATAGTTCCAGTTTGTTTATTCCGGCGGGAAAAAACATAGAATTGTATCTAAAACTGCCAGCCGCAACAAGGTCGATCATTCTTGTCCAGTGATGGTCAACTATACGTTAACGCGACCATACAACCAATACTATTTACACCGCGCTGCGTGCACAATGCGTGCATCGGAACGTTTCGATCTAATCAAAATAATTACTTAATTCGAATAATTTAAAAAAAAAACTCCGTTCGTTATTTAAAATTACAACGGTCAAAAATTGTCTGGATTACAACCGGCCAGTACATTTTAATGGTGTTAGAATTGCTAAAAAATGAAGTGTCAATAATATTTATAAGTGCTTAAAAATAAAATTAATAAATTATCTTATTACATAAAACAGGTAAGGCATTAAAATTATTTCAAATATTATAGGTGCTTGTGTATTAATTAAACATAATCTGAATGTGGCTCTTTAAATATCCTTTATTTAAACTATATACGAAGTTCTCAATAAAATAAGATATATAAAAACAACTGTTAATAATTATAAAGACGATGATCCACAGTATCTATAAAAAAGAGTAAAAGACAGCTTCAAAAACATAAAATATCACGGCTAAATAAAATCAAGTAAACGAAAATATGTTTCCCTTGCCGATTTGGTACAAACACCGTAAAGGATATTTCACGGTTATAAAATGCATTAAAAACAATTCACAACTGCATGAAATTTCAATTTTCATATCAACCAAAGTTCAAATCCGTACGTACATTATCTGTAATTGGAATAACGCTGACGATTCGATCCGAACACGTGCTCGGAGACGAAGGAAAACGAAGTAAAAATACTAAATACTTCTTAAAAATTATTTATCAATAGGCATATGTTTATAAGTTTATCAAAAGTGTTTCACAAGGTATTGCGAGCTATGGCAATGATTGATTTTTAAAAAATGTGATGTTACAACACATTCAGAGAAAAACAGGTCATTACCACTGTTAGAATATTTTCGATGATAATGATAAATTTTATACATTTATAATGTGAATGACAAAAGCTTGTGTATATGAAATGTATGAGTGATGGAAGTTTGTATGGTAGCAAACAAGCGTAAAGAATTCAAATAAAAATTGGATCAAACATAGAATTAGTTACTGTTTACAGAAAAACAAACATTGTTGCTAGAAACAATAAATAATTGATTGAATTCGAAATTATTTTAGGGGGTCAATAAACTTTATGGCCCTTTGATAAATTTTGAGAGACCGTTACAAACAAATTTGTCAAATAAGTACTTTCAAATACTGCAATATATCGTTATTATGCGGTGATAACTTATCTATGAATATGTTCGATTCTAATAAACAAATAAACCGTAAGTTAGAAAAGTAGAGAGAACTAACGGTTCCAGTTTGACCTTTTACATTTCTTCTAATGGATAGAAAAAGATAAATAAAATATCTATTGCAAAGTATCAACCTAATACAATACTTTTGGTACATACCAATGTATCTTAAAATGTTTGTTAGACATAGATAAGCACTAAGAGAATTTTGAAACAGTACACGTTGGTTGCACATTTCCTAACGATCTAAATAAAACCTGCGTACCACGAGTATGTTAAGTATGTGAACAAATTAACATAAGTGCGTTTAAAATGCAAAGAATATCTAGAAACGTAAGTAACTAAAAACTAAATTTAATGGCGGGAAACAATGATGATAATATTTGATCGCAATGAAAATGTTTTTATATTCGACTCCTAAGCGTGCACTTTTTTTTTCTTTTTCGTATTTTACTGGCCAGTAACTAGCTAAAAACTACAATCGTATTTTTTTTATATCTTGGAAATGTCATCCGTAAAACGTGCTAGCTTTTATTTAGCATTTATTAATTGTATAGACTTTAAACCGCACCTATACAAATAGGTTACGAATAAGGCAATTCTTAGCACAGTACTCAAGTAACGTATGTAAGTTTTGTAATCAGTCAATACATGGTATCACTTAACGAACCCTTTTATTGCTTGACGCGGCCAAGGCGTAGATTATACGTACTAAATTCTGATGGTTCACATACTGATGTATTCACAATATGTTATATAGCTGTTGCTCGCGACTTTGTCCGCATGAAATTAAAAATGTGACAGATAAATTATCTTTCAAACGGTGTAGGGATTTTTAAAATTGACCCAGTTTTTGAGTTATTACAATACAAACAAAAATACAAATCTTTCCTCTTTATAATACTAGTATAGATTATTCAAATCTCAATTATAAGAACGTAGAAAATTGTTTATAATTATTACGTCACAAGTCAAACTCTTTTTACCGTTGTAGTGTCACTGAGAATTTAAATCGGTTTATAAATAATCTTTACTCGTAAACTTTTATGAAAGGTCGAACATTACCATTCATTACATTCATGTAAGTTATGAAGATGTGCAGTAAAATATGGCGGGAATGTATGTTATGTAACACTAGTTGCTGTCGTTATTTACCGGATTTTTTTTAGCATAAGATGGCAAACAGCTACTTGAATTAGTCAATATTACAAAGCCCATACTCACACACAACTACAAATGTTGCCTATGTTTATCGACAGAGAAAGTGATGATTCTTTTACATCTGGTCTCCTGCCAAATCCACCTTTCATTGTAATAAAAGGGTGGTAATGGGAAGAGAATTTTGAATCTTGGGAAGAGAACTATACACTTAGTACTAAAGTTTGTAGTTCCGTAGCGCATACGTTTAAGTCTATTATCTATTGCAATCAGTTTACAAGATTAGTATGTTACAGTCACCTGGCATCTTTTGCAACCATTAAACGAAAACCTGTGTATGCTATTGTTACCACACGGTCCTCGAAGGCATAATTAAGTTTTTTGATGAAATACACCTGTAGCCCATACATATACATACATACATACATACATACATTTTTTTTCTTTTTATAATATAGTATATCTATACTAATATTATAAAAAGAAAAAAAATGTATTTTTGGATTTTTGTATGTATCTAAAAAACTAAAAAATTACTGGGCCAATTTTAAAAATTCTATCACCGTTAGAAAGGTAATTTATCTGTGAGTAACATTGGCTATATTTTTCACGCGGGCGAAGTCGCGAGCAATAGCTAGTATACACCAATATTACAAAGAGGAAAGATTTGTATTTTATATTTATTGAAATAACTCAAAAACTATAGGGCCCATTAAAAAGCTACGTTATCAGTGAGTATAGGCTATATGTTTCTAGTTCACGCACGCGAAGTCGCGAGCTACAGTATTACATATTTTTGCAGTTATTTTAATTAGAGAACTTTTAGAATATACTCTGTCTTTTATAAAAATAGATAGACAAATGACATAAATAGACACAGATTGTGAAAAATAATTCCTTATCAATTGAGTTTTTAATTATTGCGTTTTGACACTATTTTTGTGAAACTGGTACTGATTAATTTACATTATATGGCAGATATCAGTTACATTACGAGATAACACGCATTGCCAATGTTACAAGTTTTTGGTATGATAATTTCATAATATAACCTTGATTTGTTAACTTTAGAAAGTACTGACCGTGCACTATAATTCGATTTTCTATAAAGTCATGGTGTAATTACAAATAATAACCCGTTTGTTACAAAAGCTGTGTAACTGGTTATTGTAAAACAATGAAAGGAAAAAAAATTGGACATATTTCGATACGTTGTGAGTTACAAATGCATATTTGCAATTCATCAAAATATTAAACTTTTAGGTGCTTTTTTATATCATGCATGAAAATGATTTTTCATAAAAAATTTCAGTTTTCTTCAAAATAATCTGTAAGGCATAAGATTTATTTTACAATACGATTTAAACATGGTATGCATCTATGGAATTCATACGTACATATTTTCAGAGTATTGTGTACTTTACATATGTTAAAATATTTGGCACACATTTACAACTATGTGTTAAATGCCACCATGGCTATGTGAAGCTACTATGGCTGTTATTTAATACAACATAACCTTTTTTATTTAGTATTTAGTCTTTGTTTTATTAAAAAGTTATTTAATGTCAAAATTTTAATTATTTAAAAGCTCGTCATTTGTTTAATTGACTATAAAAATAACAATGTTTTGTAATTGATTAAAACAAACAATTAAACTAAAGCAATTTTACTAACTTGATAAAAAACAACATCCGACCCAAAAATAGACCACTTGTGAAACCATTCAGTATGCATTCTATGTTAGCCTTCTGTTCAAATTTTAATGAAACACGTTTTTTTCGCGAAAACTGTGTTTGTTATGAATTCTCACATCCACTTGACTCGTTATGTGACGTCATTATAATAATTTTGAGAGACCTTGAGTTAGTAGGTGACGGCCATTCCCATGATAGAGTCGCCGTTTTACATCTTTACGCTGGGTGTGTGCCCATCTTTAAAAAACATAACTGGTTCTACCACAAAAATTATAAACTTAATAAGTTTGTTGTTTGACATTCTTTCTATTTTATAATAATACCACATATTTACAACATAATAAACAACGCGGATACACAATTTTCAGTTACAATTTACATATGAGATAATCGAAGAAAACGTATACCTAAATATTCTGAAAGAATAAACATGTTTACAGAATCCATAAAGACGTACAATAAATATGATATAGAACCGAATATAACTAATTAGACTATTGTAATTAGTTATATTCTAAATTTTATACAGTAGAACCTCGATAAGTTAAAGTCCAAGGGAAACACGAAATACTTTAAGTTATAGAGGTTTTAAGTTATCAAGGGTCTATGTTGTAGAGGTTTTGGGCTCTAATGGGAAGGGAACATATTCTTTTTGAAGTTAGAGAGGTTTTTAAGTTACCGTGGTTTGAGTTATCGAGGTTCTACTGTAATTGTAAAAAGAGTTACTTTTTATTTATATCTTAATGTGTACAAAAGAGTTTATTTTATGTTATGAGGCCAGAAGATCCAGTAAAGAACTACTATTCACATTTATATGGAATCGGTATGTCAACACGAGATAGTTAGCGTTCCGAACCGAAATCGATATTGAAAAAGGGCCATAAGGAAAACACCCTCGCCTGAAGCATATGAAAGTGAAAGCATGCAAATGTAACACAATACAGACGGGAGTGAATAGTTTTGTACTCGCATTTAAGAATTATATTTTTTACCACGATCTTTTACTGTGAAGCACGACAATGATTCTGTTAAACATCATAATTTTAGAAAAAGGGGATAAGCTATTGTAAAAAAATGGGAGTTATTTCGCTTTATTGACATTTTTTCTTTTTACATGCCTCACCTTACTTCCTACAAAATGTCTCCGTATATCGTGTGTGGTATTGCAGAAACTGTCTTGTTATTTCAAACAGAACATAAGATTTAGATTCAATGGACGCAATGTGAGGCGATTGTCTGATTAGTCTCCTATGATGCCGGCAAATGGTAATTTGTATGCGCACCATGGGGGCAACTGAAGTACTATTGTGGCAACGGATGACCTTCGAATAGCTTCGTTACAAATAAATTCCAAGCTAGCTCGCCCTCCGTGCTAAAGTTATAAATCCTCGCTTAAATTAATTGAAAGTGGAATAGATTGAGCAATATATCACGTGGCTTTTGAATAATTATGTTAAAAAAATTCAAGGCTTCTATAGTTTTCAAAATTTTTCGTTATTTTTTGTTTAGAATCAGATAACACTACTAGATATATGCACTATACATGATACTCAGGTATCTTTAAAAACCTGAATTTTATACTCTAAAAACACACAAAGTAAAAAAAAATCTTTTATTGTTACAGGAATATTAATTGGTAAACAACATGCGATGGGCATTCGTAATTATAATAAGTTTGTGTGTTTCATACGCAAGTGAGGTGACACAGATCTTTGACTTTTGGACGAATTTATTTCGTCCCCTACCTCGAAATCCCAAAGAAGGCTTCGTACCGGATTACACTCCTAAATACTTAGAACAATTCGATTTTATTATAATCGGCGGGGGATCCGCTGGCTGTGTGCTGGCAAACAGACTGACGGAAGTATACGATTGGAAAGTTTTACTTCTAGAGGCCGGAGGCAATGAAAACTTTTTTTCAGACGTTCCAATATTTGCTCCGTTCCTTTCCCTTACGCCTTTGAATTGGGGATATAATTCGGAACCGGAACAAAAGGCGTGCAGAGATCTCAGAGGGAAGGTTTGTTTTATGCCTCGGGGCAAAGTCCTCGGCGGCAGTAGCGTATTAAACTTTTTAATATATCAAAGGGGACACCCCGAGGATTACAATGACTGGGCCCGGATGGGCAATGAAGGGTGGAGTTATTCAGAAATCCTTCCCTATTTTAAAAAGTCGGAAAATATACAAATTAATGAATTAAAAAATTCATCATATCATGGTAGAGGCGGGTACTTAGATATTGATTACGCTAGTTTTTCTTCTCCATTGCAAACTGCTTTCAAAGATGCCGGCGAGGAACTAGGATACAAATGGAACGATCCTAATGGAGAAAGTGTCATAGGATTTTCTAAACCTCAAGCGACCATAAGGAAAGGAAGAAGATGTAGCACTGCGAAGGCATTTTTAGAACCAGTTCGGTTCAGGCGTAATTTAAAAGTTTCTAAATATTCAACGGTTGTGAAAATTCTGATTGACCCCAACACCAAAAAAGCATATGGAGTTGATTTTGTGAAAGGTAACAAAAGGTAAAAAAACATGCTATATAACTAGTTTAAAAAATATATTGCATTTATGCTTTCGAAACCAACAATACTATAAAATAGAAAAAACTTATTCCTTTAGTCCCATGTCATCTATCGAGAAAAGCTGTATTTTTCGTAGACCGTAAGCAAAAGCGTTAAATTAAAAAGGTACAATGTACTAGAATTCCGTTCAATGTTATCCAAGCTTGTTCTCGTGACACGCAAACGATGTGAAAAATGTCCAATAAATTTTATCCGTAAGGACGAGCAACAAAAAAATAAATTTGAGATTCTTCACTACTACAAAGTAGACAGCTATATTTTATCAATGCATATAATTTAAAAAAACTTCAAATTTTATATCTTGATTAAGTTTATTAAAATAATCAGAATACTTATATAAGTTTTTTAAATCGACAGACGAAGGGTAATAGCTCGCCGCGAAGTTATCCTGTCAGCTGGTACAATCGGTTCTGCACAAATACTCATGCTTTCTGGAGTAGGACCGGCAGACCACCTCGCAGACATGGGCATCAAGACCATAGCCAACCTCCCAGTTGGCTACAATCTACAAGATCACGTCACTTTCTCAGGAAATGCCTTTATAGTAAACGACTCGAAGCTCTGTGTAAATGACGTAAGTTAAATGTTTAAAATCACACAAATGTACTCACAATTGCTTGTCTCTTATTAATTCATGACAAAAGATAAAGAAACCCTTCATAGAAGTCACTAAATTACTTCGACTTTTATCTGGAAAGTATAGGGTAGTAAGCAATTGAGAGTTTTCATTTTTCTCCTATTCCTCTTTTAACCCTTTGAAGAGGACCTTCTGCATTTCCTGGTCAATTAGTATTTAATGCTCTTATTCGGTTATACCTCCACTAATTCTGACGAACCACAAAGCAATTTCTTGTTCCGGTTTAATAGTAAACTGTTTTTCTAGCTTACAGCTGCATCTCCACTAGCAGCCGCTGCTTACTTAGCGGGCAAAGGACCTTTGACGATACCAGGTGGTGCCACAGGGCTAGCGTTTGCTCGCACCTCTTACGCCGCAGATCTGTCGGAAGGACGACCCGATATGGAACTAGTGATGGGCGCCGGGTCGCTTGCTGGAGATCTGTTAGGCATTTTAAGATCGTTGCTTGGTAATATATGAATTCTAAAGATATGTCACTTCTGGTCTGAGTAGCAACAATTAATTTTTGTAAGATCAAAACTTAACTGCTTTATATTGAAATCGATATTATTATTATCCAATAGGGGTAACAGACAAGTGGTATTGGAAGGTGTACGGTTCCCTGCCACCTGAAGTCCGACAGCGAACATTCTCAATGAATCCTGTACTGATTCGACCGCGCAGTGTTGGCCGGCTGATGCTACGCAGTCCTAACTTTGATGATCATCCTAGGATACATCCGAATTACTTCCACCATCCGGATGACCTGCGTGCTTTGAGAGAAGGTCTACGAATGGTAATTTTAAATTAATACGTATTTCGTATTGAACTTCTTGTCAACTACAGTGACTCTAAGAAGGGAGTGAAATTATCATGATTCCGTACCAATCCTCTAGTATCTATTTGTTTATGAATTATTTGGGGTGTACTTTCTTTTGTTTTAACTAATATTTGTGTCTTCTATTTTAACTAGGTGGAAAAAGTAATAAGCACGAAAGCATTTCAACAGTTTGCAACACGAATTCACAACGTGCCGTTCCCCGGATGCGAACATTACAAATTCGATTCAGATGATTACTGGGAATGTGCAATTATGCAAACTTCCATCACTCTTGACCATCAAGTAAGTTGGAATCTGCCATTGCAGTAAATATTAAATTGCTCCTGTGTATTATAAAAGACTGATTAAAACTATATTACTATTATCTATTTGAAATTCTAATTCTATATGGAATAATTACGTGAACAGAAAGGATATTTTACATTATTCTGGAAATAAAACAGTGTTTTTTAATACATCACAACTCTAGTTATTACTAGGTCTCAGTACCTTGACTTATAAGAAACAATAGAATTAAACACGATTTCCATCTACTAAATAAATTACAAATACGCTACGAGAATTGTGCCGCAATTACATTCATAATGAAATATTTTCCTACATTGTTACATCTGTACAAGATTAAATCTTAAACTTTTTGATTACGTTATTGTGTACGATAAACTTCGAAAAAAAAAACGCAATGTTTTTCAAACTTCATATGCATATTGTCCTTAATTTACCTCTTATTCTACTAGGAAATGTTTTTTTTAATTCCCTGAAATCTTAAATATGCGACTACGATAGAATACACTATCATATTTTATCCTTCTTACATCTGCGTTTTAACCAGGTTGGAACATGCAAAATGGGAGCTGCGGGAGATCCTACTGCAGTGGTTTCCCCAACACTACTGGTCCATGGCATACAAGGTCTACGGATAGCTGACGCGTCAATAATACCGCGAATACCAGCCTCGCATACATTAGCACCGGTCGTGATGATCGCGGAGAAAGCCGCGGATTTAATCAAAGAAGATTGGGGATATCTTCTTCAATAACCTCCAATAATAGTCAATTTAGAATAGTGAAGTTAAAATGTTTTTATATGATAATATACTAAGGAAATAATAGTTTATTTTTTAACAATATGTATAGCTATTCTATGCTAGTCATTAGTGAAGTTTGAAAGTCACCAAAATAAAGTTCATTAGAGAAATTTGTTTTACTGTTGCATTCCCACATAATTTCAAAGAAATTCTGTTTTTGGGGTTAAAGGGTTTAACATTGCAAAACTCATTAAACATCTACCAAACAATCATTTTAATGTTAGGTTACAAAAACTTATAAGAGTTATTTTCTATTGATTCACTAATTAAACTAAAATAAAATCTTAATTATATTTTTTATTTATTAACAAACTACATATTTTCCATAAATGCTTATTTCTATTTAAGTTTCTAGTCCGGCGATTGACCAGTTTTTGTCTTCCTGTTGAGTTTTTTATACAAATAAGATAGCCGTTTTTCTAACTCCTTCCACTTGGTAGGTCTAACCATTGGTGAAGCTGTTTTAGCAAACATTTTTTTCTTCCTTAACAATATCTATAACAGAAAAAAATATTCCTAATTTCCTGGGTAACATATTATAATGGTAAAATAGAACAGTAGACAGAGATGGAGGAAGTATTTTTCTCTATTTGCTTAGTTATTTGAAATGTTACTGAAACTGTATACTCACATGATATTCATGGCCACTGACTCCTCTAATCCATGAAGGGACAGTGTACAGTGTTTTGACTGGGTGAAGATTCCCAGGACCCAATATATCTATATAATCATTCTGACCATATAATGCTCTGCGTTCAGTCCACGCATTTGCAGGCCTGGCAATAAAAAGAAGTCATTGTTACAATGATTATCACACTTTTCATAAAATTATAACCATTTAGGCTTCTTCGTTTATTTTAATCTAATAAAATAGTTGTAAATATAGCAGACAAACCTGTATTCTGGAATAGGTAACTGTCTTCCCGGATTCCTTGGTAATAAACCCCCACACCAAAGTTTTTCCTCATACCCATATCTTCGTACAAGCCTAGTTTTATCAGCATGATATCTTGTTCTATAAAAATGAAGTAATTGTAAGTATTCAGGTTATGCAAAAAATAACAACAACAAGAATATCTTTACCTTACTATATTCAAACTTGGTCTCCATAGTGTATTTAAAATTGTAGTACCTAACCGCTCCATAGCAAAGGGTACTTAACCGTGTCTATTTTTCTCTTTTAAATTAAAACTTTCAATTTCAACCGAACAAACTCCAAAATCTAACCTACAATATTATGAAAATTATGATTGTCAAACTGTCAATGTCAATGTCAGGTGGACTGGTTGACAAGTCTAATCAATAATCAAAGAATATAATATTTAACGATTTTTTACTCTAGTTTAATTTTTAAATAAAACTAAAATTTTTGGCTTCGTAATTGTAACAGAATTTTAACATTTATCCCGCTTTATAATATCTTGGTTTAGCAGACAATCACACATAAAATTGTCTGGTAGCTTTTTCGGATAAAACGAATGCAAACACGGATCACTGCTAGCCAAATTATTGTAAAAATGAATATTAGTAAGGAAAGTAAAAGTAATAGCTAGCTAGCACTAACCTACATAACATGCACTACCACCACAATTATGTATGTATTTATTTATAAGAGTATCGGTGGAGCACCGGACCGTTATCTACATATCTAGATTCAATCCCTGCCATTTACTAATGCGTTTCTAATGACACTATGTTTTGTAAATACATGACCAAAACATAATTTGGTCCAAGAAATAAAAATCAAAATCTGAAAAAGAAAGTTTATTATGGACAGTCGTGTACAGATATTTAGTTTATGTATTTATACTTTATAATTACAAAATATTATTACAAAATTTATGTATTTTTGAAGCGGCTTCCATAGTATATTATCGAAAAAACATTTTATTGACAAAAACAGACTTGAATGGTTGACTAAAATTTTGCTTTATTGAAAAATGCAAAAATGTAAGGAAATTGTTACGTATACACGAAAAATATAACTTTCGTAGAATAGTGGAATTGCACTGTTATACAGTCTACTGTGCTAATATAGATATTATACTATTCTATGTAAATAACTAAATTCATATGAACACATTTTTTCTTAAAACTAGGTGCATTATAACAATAAACACACCACGCTAAATACTTATAAATTTGAAACTTTAGAAACTATAATATCATATAAATTTAAAAATATAAATAAATGATTAATATAAAAATCAAAATTCTTAATTGCTTTTGTACTAGTCGCTACATCGGCATTTTTTTTAATTATTGCATTGTGCTTATTTTACTTAAAAATAGAATTTAATTAAATGGTATTAAGATTACATCCCCACTTTATAATTTAGGTCGCACATTTTCCAAATACAAATAATTAATTCCTCAAGATGCAGACATCTTGGTACTTGCCTCATACAGATAAAAAAAAACAATGCAATTTATCTGTAAATCAAATTATACGATGTTCTACTCTAAACAAAATACATTTTCAAGTCAAAAGAAATCTTAAATACAAAACATAAGTACATAAAATATTTGTTGGAATAAATGTTTAATAGAATATTTGGCATTATCAAAAATTGCAGATATTCTTCCTTATTATTCATATTTCCCGGAACCACGTTTATTCTACGTAGAACAATTTATCGCGATATTTTATGAACAAATTCAAAGTTTATAACTTTGATGACTGAAATGTTCCAGAAAAGTTCATCAATTTACAATAACAACTAGCTCTTGTAACATAAAAGTTATGAAACATATGAATTACAACATATGAAAAAAGAAAAATAAACGTACATTTAGAAGCAATTTCTTCTAGAGTAATTACTCTTTAATAAGATTATTAATACTTCGGCGATTGTAGATAACAATTGATTTAAAAAATTAGGCGGTTTCATATTCGGTAATAAACATTATTCAAAGATTGAATGATACAAAATTATTATTACACAAAACAAAAAATGTAAAAAGAATCTGAAAAACATAAAATGTAAAAAAAAGGTAAACATGGCTACAACAAAGACTCGTGCATTTTAAAAATATATGAACTGTAAAGTTATTTAAAAAGTCTGATAATTGGAATTCAGAATTTTTTTTTTAATTTCATGACATTTGGGAACTCTGCCTTGAGCATAGTTTTCCACAATCCTCAAAAATTAATAATTATAAAACAATATGAAAACATCAAACTTTGCAGCCTCAAATTTTAACTTAAAAACAATCAACTTAAACATATTAATTAAGGCTATGGTTGATAAAACATTACCATCAGGTACAGAACAAAATCAGCTTTAAATCTAAAAAAAATGTCAGTAAAATAACTAATTTTATCAAATAAAAAAAATAAGTTATTTGCTGTCACAAAAGCACATTTATATAATTTTTGTGACTTAAAAATAAAAATGGTGGGTATTTTATGGCCAATATCAATTCGAAATAGCATTGAAAATGTAATAAAATTATGCAAATATAATTTGCTAGTTATTCAAAAAAAGTTTTCTTATTTTATTCTAATAGTAAAGAAAACATGTACTGTATTTTGTGTACAAAAATAATAATTATTCATACTTAAAAATATTTGGATATTAATGTATAACGGAATAAAAGTATTCCCGCTCAATATAACCTCAAAGTTGGTTAAGCAATTTATTACAAAATATTTTGCTAGAATTTATTGACTTTTTAAGTAATCATGGAATCAAACATATTACTGTCAGACTAATACAAATTTTACATCGTGGCTTGTGAATACATCGTGACTTGCAAATTATAATTTTTAATGCTAAAAAGTGATTTCAAACAATAGGGAATTTATTGTCTGCAGTTTTAATTGACATTCTAATTCGTAAGATGAATAAGTTATCCATCATACAAGAGTTATAAGCCCTACGTTTGTAAGGGTATTAATTGTTTTTATTAGAACCATGACTTTGTGTATGTATTTATAAAATTTTTAACATTTTTAAATATACAACATAATTAAGCAAATACAAAACTAACCTAAGTAAACTACAAGAATAAAAAAACAAGTACATAAAGTGGAAAAAACAATTGTAAATAGCAACAACATATTACCAACATACAGCCTCCATACAAATAACAAATAAAATAAGTAAAAAGAAATAAAAATCATCCCAAGTGATAAAATATGCATATGATTTAAAAATTTATATAGGCTTTATAGCCTAATATATACATAGCCTCATTAATTATAAACGTGAACATACATACAATATTGTGTACATCTATAAATACATTCGTAAAATATACTGAGACCCTTTTACAATCATTTATGATATTTATGCATTTAAACATAATACTCAATTTGAATTTAACAGTATTATAACTGAAATTTTTGTTTTTCATAGAATGTAATAGGATCTCTTAGCAATCTCACAAATAATAACTAGTGTATAACACTTCACGAATAAATATTTTGTGTTTACACAACAAAAAAAATTGATATCTTCAACATGGTCAGGCTTTGCCAGTGGTCATTGCACTTTACAGTTCCCTAAGATCTAATGCCATATTTCCACATATAAAGGTGCATTAAGAAATATTAAACATTCATTCTATATGCATGTGAAACTATTGTAAGTCTTTGGAGTAGAGTACAGAAGAGTTGTGGAATATTGACATACTCGTGTACACAAAAACCTCCACAGACCGACACTTTGTAAAACATAAACTTCCTAAAAATATGTTCTAAAACCTATAAAAAAATATAGCTCTTATTTTTATTCAAAAATAGAAAATCAAAATAGGGTATGATGTAATACTGCACACTAAATGTTACTCTAAATCAGTCAAGATATTGTTGTTATGAAATTAAGAATAATTAATGTATTGTATGAAGAAATGTACAAAGTTATTTTTCAGTTTGTATATAGTAAAGCTATTTTTGTAGAAAACTTATAAAATTAAGTATAAAAGTAAAAGGTGGATAATTTTGAACATATTCATACATTTCAAAGATAAATAGTTGACCTCTCACAATAGTTTTTTTTTTTACCAATGTGTATTGATTGAAAACATACATTTTGAGAGGTAGACTATTTATATGAATGTATGAATAAGTCCATCATCTACAGATATCCTAATTGTATTTTACCTTACTTTCTACACCTTAATTCAAATGGTAATAATAAAGCAAGTTGTGAGGCGGGATATTTGCATCAGTCTTGTGAAATTCTCAATTGAAAATTACTGTCATTGATTTAACTATTTGGTAAACTGTAAAATAAACTTGAAAAGTCAAACCTGTAGTAAATTTTAAAAACTGGTGCACCATACTACATCAGTTCATATCGTTTTTTAATGATGATATTGTTGCATCAAGTATTCTACCTGCAGCATAGCCTGGTATGTTGAGGTATGCTGGTTTATCATGTTCACACAAACCAGGTTGTGTGCAACAACGATTCATACTTGGCACATCAGTACTAGATGTGCCACTAACACCAGCCATGTCCGAAGATGTTCCTTGGCAGATCATTCTGTGATTTGTAAACTGTTCTAATGAACGAAGCTGTTCACCACAGTTATCACATTTCAATTCTCTTGCATGAACCTTTTTATGGCTGTTCAATGATCTTGAATTATCAAATACCTTGGTACACATGTCACAATACTTTAGAACTTTCTCTCCGGTACACACCACTTTATGATTATTGAGTCTATCCAGAGACATATAACGTTTGTTATTACATAGGTCACATTTAAATTGTTTTTGAGGTACCCGTCCTGTATGTACTTGCATATGTTTACGTAGATTGCTTTTGTCTTTTATATATTTCGAACAAACTGAACATTTATTAACGTCCTTGCGGGTGTGGTTTGCATCTAAATGTCTTCTTAAATGAGATTTCTTATGAAAAGGTTCCAAGCAGATTTGGCACCTAAAAGGTTTTTGTGCTGGGTGAACTCCTGTTAAGTGTGTATTGAATTCGAGAATAGTTGGGTAGCTTTTACGACAATGCGGACAGTGGAATAATCTACGGCATATTGCTGCACTGGAATCACAAAAAGGATCTGAACAATCATCACAAAATGAGTCTAACCCTGCTGGTGGAGTAGCAGTATGATAAGGTTCCACTTCACTTTGTAGAGGATCATGATCAGGATCGGGAGTACCTGCTCCGCTCGGTTCTTGTTTAATTTTGGCTTGGTCACTTGACTCTGAGAAATCATCTTGTGAAGAAACTCCACGAGAAGTACCTGCTAACATCCACCAAGGGTTGTAATGCCACGCTCCCAAGCCAGACTGCACCGATTGTGCCTTCAAATCGCTTGACTTTGTCTGAGTTCCCGCATTTGAAAATCCAGGGAAACTAGGCAATTCTTGATGTTTAGTCCTTGTCGTTTCGAAAATGCTATGTTGAGATATTAAACTTTCGTAATCGCTTGGATCCAATTTTTTTTCATTTCGATCGTTTCCCTCTCTTTTAGACATATTTTAATCAGAGCCTGAAAATTAAATAATACGTAGTTATTCATCTTTTTAACTATAGTAATCACTCCTGTTCAAAATTTCTGATAGTGGACCTAAATTAACATATGATTTATTAAAAAATAACTAACATAATAGAAATCATTGTTATTATGAACTTAGAAAAATTGCTAAGGAAATTAGGCCAAGCTTTGTAGTGAAGTAAACAAACAACACAAACTCAATTATTATTGAGTCAAGGGTTTTAAACCTAACATACGCATACAACAGTTTTAACGATATATTTTGTTTCCTTATTGTACATTAATTAAAGTAATATGTACATACATGAAAAATGAACTTCCCATGAAAGATATCAAACAAATATTAAAAGGGCTCGGCCATTTTGTTTGGTTTGGGCACATCCACAGATAATAACGAACTTTCATTTCGTCAATTTAAACAATTCACAGATAAGAATATTTTTGGTTCAGTTCAGTGCCTTTGTAAACCAAAACAGCGGAAACCACTAAACGAAACACTTAGTTTTGTTGTAATATCCCTACGAATTCCAGCTGCAGGTATTTAAAGTCCAAGTGATTTTAAGTCCTTTTAAAAATGATATGTCTTAGTTATTTACAGAATCGGCAATTTTGTATTTACAAAACCTTTAGATTTAGGTGTCTCTAGGCAAGATAGATATAAACTTCAGACTCTCAGCACCGCACACATTACGTTATCATCAGTAGTTTAGTTTACATGAGGTTTCCATTTCTCTTGTACATTATTAGGATAGATTTACTAATACATATTTATTTAAAATCAAACCACGGTAATATCATTTATTTTATGAATCATATTAAGAAAAATTACAGGTAAAATTATTCATAAAACAACCCTTCCTCTTTTGACTGCAGCTTTTACAATTTTTGTTTTCTTTTCTTTTTTCTTTTTAGAAATATTCTCTTTCCTTTTCTTTTGTCTATCTTCTTTCTTTTGTTCAACACTCTTTATTCTATTGTCCCATTGCTTTTTGCTTGCCTTTTTCTTTTGATCCTGAAATTAAAAATTGGTTTATTTTATCTTGATGTAGAAATTTAGAGTAGAATGGGATATCCCAAATATAGACTCAAAAGGAATAACAAAATTACCCTAATATGATATTTGGGCTTAAGTTACTTTCTTCTACAATTTAGTTAGGTGATTTTTATATTATACATTATGATGCATGGACACATTCTTACCATTCGCTTAATTGACTTTTTCAATAATATAGGATCATCTTTAACTTTCTGACCCTCTGCCTTTTGAAGTATATTTTTCCATGCCATCTTTTCTTTAATTTCTTTTGCTTTGTCACCTTTATCTGCTTCTTGTAATTCACGTAATTTGTTTTCTTGCTGTTTCATATCTTCTAGTATTTTTTTCGGGTCCTTGTGTACTTTGGCACTTTTGTCTGCAAAAAAAAATTATCTTGTGGTTAAAAATCACTCAGTGATGACATGAATGTGAAATGAATTACAGAGAAGTAATGTAATACATTCTGAATACATATTTTAGAACCATGAACATACCTTTTTTACCAAAATTGGCAAAGTCAAACTTAGAAAATACTAATTTTCCTTCGCTATTAAATATAGGTTTGGCTATGTTCACATTTTTTTTGTCATCTGTCTGCTGTTTCTGTTTATTTTCAAATTCTGGTGCTGAACCTTTTACATGTGTTTTATTAGTCCTTTCTCTTTTCTTGAGTTTTTTGTTCAGTTTGCTGTTAATACTCTTCTTAGCTAGTTTACTTTTTAAGTGAAAGTTATTTTGCGATTTGAGTTTCTGCAATTTTTCTTCTAACTCTACAATACTTGTTGCACGCTTAGGTAGTTCTTTTTTATCTTCAGGCTGTACACCATTGGTCATTTCGAAGTCATTGTTAGCATCGTCATCTGCAAATAAACTTATATAAATTTTATGTGATACATATAACCTTTGTGTACAATATTTAAACATTATTCATACCTTTATGTATTGGTAAGGACAAACTAGAAAATATATTTTTTATAAATTGTAGTTCTTTCGATAGCTCACTCTTTAACTGTTTCGTTTTTAATGTTTTTTTCTGAGATGTCATGATTGATGGCATTTGAACTTATATACTTATGTTTTACTTATTGTAAAAATATGAATTAGGTTGAATGTTACATGGACAATTTAAAAAAAAATCAAACAAGATTTTAAAGTTTACAATTTTACACGTGCAAATTGAAGGAAAGGATGACAGATGGCAGTTAGTGAACATTCATAGATTAGAAAATTGTAGATTTTAGGAAAACATCGAAACGTTTCAATCTTCTTCAAAAGGTGAAGGAATTAAACATATGTAACACAATATACATATCTAATATATAGTCGTTAAAAAAGTAGGATTCACCAAAATCAAAAGCACAAAACGTTAGGTTGGGTTATAAAATGATATCGTTTTTATTTTATTTATGTCAACATTCACCACTGTTAGTTATGATATTTTAATCTATGACGAAAAAATAGTTTTTGGTTTGACTTTTTAAAACACTGAAAATTGAATTGAAAAAGTTTTATCTTTATTGAAAGTTTTAATACCACAAAAATAAGAAATGTCCCAAGAAATATCTTGTGGTCTGGAATACATCACAACACCGGATTTACAAGCATGTCTTACGGAGGCTTTACATAGTAATTATTCATTCATAGTTACGCCTGTTGTACATCCACGTTTTCGTCGTCCATATATTGCAGGTGCTAGTAAAATTGGAGGATTCACACGGTCTGACATGGTATTATCTCCACAAGATTGGACAAGTCGTATAGTTGCAAAGATATCGCCTTATATTTGCGTGGATTCAGAATCTCCGGTAGTGCGGCAGCGTCATGAGGATTGCTTGAATGAAGAGCTGTCTTACTGCCGGGGTTTGGGAGTACCTGCTATATTGTTATCATTACAGTCAAGAAATACAAATAACTTATCGAGAATTCTCCAAACATATTATGAAACAAGGTATGTACAATTAGGAATAGTATTTACATAGAATTTCTCTGTTCAAATTTATGATAGGAATTACTTTTATCGTTATGAATATTTTAACTGTTGCAGCCATCACCCTTCCCTTATTTGGGCATCTGTACCAATGTATTGTACAAGAAATGCTCGACGCAACAACCAAGATGATGATGATGAATGTGAGGAGGCTTGGGATGAAACCTGGCATTGGTGGTCCAAGTTCCATGAACGGTTAGATTGGGACAAACGAGTTGGAGTTGTCTTAGAGTTATCAGCTGATATACCACCTCAAGAAATATTAAAAAGATGGCTTGGTGAACCTGTCAAAGCTATTGTTGTTCCAACATCTATTTTTCATAACAATAAAAAAGGGTGAGTAACAAATTTTAAGCTTGTGCCTCAGCTCTTTAAAAAATTAGTGTTTCAATGGAACCTTATTTAACAAGATATAAATGTTCATTACTTAAAAATACAGGTATCCAGTGTTATCAAGAGCCCACCAGCAACTAGTTGTCAATATGGTTGAACATGAAGCCCAAGTAATTGTGAGTGGAGCAAGAAGATCTAATATTGAATATTATCTACAATATCTGTTCCGATTGTGGCAAAGAAGACCATACAAAGCTGATGATCCTATGCTCAGCTATGCACGAGGGTACAGTAGTTGTTGATTTATTTGTTACTCAGAGCATGATTTAAGTAGTATTAGGGTGTAGCAGGAAGTGGGGAGAGATAGAATACTTCACAGTGTGCAATGATCTTGGCCAAGATATTTAAAAAATGACTTTAAACACAATTTTTTAGAATAAGATTGAAAGCTGTGAACTGTGCTATCAATTCCACTACAATTTTAATGTGTTAATAACATACTGTTCAAGTAATTAATTGGCTTTGAATGTGTTTAATTATGTTGCTCTTTTTATTGTAAGTATTTTTTTTATGGAAGGCTTATTACATACTTTACACAACATTTTGAATGTCTTCATTGTATGCTGAGTTTTGAGTGACTACTAACAATTTTATCCTATTTTTATTTTTTAGTATAACTTATTTGTTTTAACAACCAGGTGGGAAGATTATCTTCAAACACCATTGCAACCTCTTGCGGACAATTTAGACACACATACATATAATGTATTTGAAAAGGATCCAATTAAATATGATCAATATCAAAAAGCTATTACACAAGCATTGATTGATATCAAAGAAAAGCGACTGAACAAAGATAACAAGGAAATTAATGAACTCTGTGTAAGTTGAAATTATTTTTGACTAACTTCCCAAAAGAAGGAGGTACTCAATTCGTCTGTGAGTTTTTTTAGTGTCCAAGCCTAATTTTAGTTTCTTTCCCATTCAAGCCTTTACTTAGAAATAAAAGATTGGATAGGAAAGTGGATTTGATGGTGGAGGAGATGCATTGGAAGGGGAAATATCCTCTTTATATGCATCTCCTCCTCCGTCGATTTAGGGTAGACAACACATCTAGAATTGTATAAGTCTATGGACAACAGCCACTAGCTCATTTTCCACCTTATTTTATATAAAAAAAAAGATTATGGAATGTAGCTTTGTTACACTCCAACATGCTCTGCTATGATGTATGGCGCATGAGCACAGCTAATGAATGTTAGCAAAGATTTATTACAAACTGCTTATTTATAAAAAAAATAGTATTAATAATTGTGCAACTAATTGCAGAATGATGTCAAAGAATTTTCTGTTTCAAATGAGAAAAATGAAGTAGGTCATGGTGATTGTTTGCAAGAAAATGAATCTGTAACAGTGATGGTTTTAGGAGCGGGCAGAGGTCCATTAGTGAGAGCTACATTTAATGCAGCTGATATCACTAAGAGTAAAGTTAAGGTAATCATATAATTTTTCTTTTATATTCATAGAAATTTAACTTATACCCGAATACCTCAATATCAGACCCTAAGTTTAAATACCTAGGATTTGTAGTGTAATTTTAAGAATTTCCACTTGGTAAATGCACTAATAAGTAATTTATTTGATATTTAAGTAACAACTGAATAATTATTTGTGCTGTTAGAGTTTATACATATAAAATCCCACTACAATTTTTAAGTTCTAAGCATCAGGGGCTAAACTTAAATAGCACTTTCAGTGAAATCTCTATTTATTGCTGTTTTACATTATGTAGTATATAGAATTATTTTGTAAATACATTTTTCAATGTATGTAACAAAAGGTCATAGCAGTAGAGAAGAATCCCTGTGCGGTAGTAGTGCTTGCTGCACAAGTACGTGAAGTATGGCGCGATCGGGACGTCGTCGTTATACCTGGAGATATGAGAAATCTTAATTTATCTCCAAAAGCGGATATTATTATTTCTGAGTTATTAGGTATGTTATATCTGTATCTTATTTCTCAATACTTGTTAGATATGTTGAAATGTGTTCTAACTATAATGTTTTAATACCAATGTTTAGATGGATGGATTTTAAAAATGTCTTTCGACAATGCTCCTTTAAATCACAATGATATGTGGCATAGATGTAGTTTGTGGAAGAACTCATTTTTATTTTAGTTCATAAGTTAAAATATTCTGCTTTTGAAGATTTTAGTCTTTTCTATGGTGAATGACAATTTTACTTAGTTTAGTTCTATATTTAGTTTCTTGAATTTCAGGTTCATGGGGTGATAATGAACTGTCTCCGGAATGTCTAGATGGTGCTTCAGGTCTTTTAAAGCCTGATGGTATATCAATACCTAAAGAATACAATTCCTATGTAGCTCCAATATCCTCGCCTCGATTGTGGGCTGCAGCTAAAGTTGCTTCGTCAAGTACAACAAACCAAAAAGAGAAAAACCTTGAAACATTATGGGTTGTTTATATGCAGAATAAACATGATATTGCAGGGACTAAGGTATTGTTTTAAAACTTAATACATAAACTAGCTGTGTCTCCCAATGTTAGAGATATTTGAATATACATTTGTTTAGTCCTGGAAATAATGGTTACAACTGATCCATCCATCCAAACTTTTACTTACATAATAGTAAGTTTTGAAGACAATTATCAAAAATATAGTAGTGATAGTGACTTAAATTTATCAACAACCAACAAGACCTTGAGGTTTTGTTCTACTTATTATTTATTGATAATTTTAGAGTAGTTTGTGAAAAATAATATTATCTCTTCAAATAGGATTTAAGACTATAAAATGCCAATAAATTATTGTTATAACAACCCAATGTTTAGTTGTTATAAGACCAGGTAGATGATAAAAAGCTCTAATGTATTTACAGCCAGTGTTTAACTTTAAACATCCAGCGAAAGGTACAACAGACCATGAAGGTGATGAATTAACAGATTATAGAGGTCTACCGTTAACAGACAACAGGAGATCAGCAACAGTATCTTGGGTTGTGGAACAGGATAATGTGATGCATGGCTTCGGAGGGTACTTTGATTGTTCGCTGTATGGAGAGGAAATGATCAGTATTGTACCGTCAACTCATAGCCCAGGAATGATATCATGGTTTCCTGTTTTCATACCAATAAAGGTTAGCTGTTATTATTTAATTTAGGACTTTATTTGATATAGCTTGCTTCTTTTTTAATAATTTATGACTTTGTAAATCTATGGGAAAATTATAATTTTTTTACTTATTAAAACATTCGTGAGACATTATACTATATTATTTATAACACGGCTAAAAAGTTCCCACGTGAGTTTTAGCCGTGTTATAAATAATATAGTATAATTTTTTAGTTGTATGATTTGACGCAATGTTTTTAAGTTTTGGTAAATCTATTTTATTGTAGTATATAATGTTAGGAATATCTGACCTGGGAAGTCAAGTAAATTATGACAACTCCCTATCATTCCCTGTCAACATCAAATAGTATCACAAAACCATTTCACATTGTATCTGTATATTCTTTTTTACATACATTATCTGACAGTACTAACCAATAAGAACCTGTTTCACTGCACTCCATTTTCTTATTTGACTATTAATGACATTTGCAATGAACATGATTATCAGCTATTGTATTTTGTTTCAGACACCTTTAAGAGTACATAAAGGTGAAACAATAACCGCGACATTCTGGCGTTGTGTCAACTCTAGAAGGATTTGGTATGAATGGATTGTGGAGGTCGGCAACTATACCACACCTCTACACAATCCAAATGGTAGAAGCTCAGAAATGTTATTATGATGTTGACATTTGTTTTTTAACATAAGAAATAAAATATTTTTTTTTAATAACATTTGTGTACTCATTTAATCAACAATGTTTCAGCTAAATAAATTATTTAACAAAATACTTTTACTTTACAAACCTTACAATATTTTTGGTACTAAACAATCGGTTTTCTACATTTAAAAAGATATATATAATATTCTATATCTTATGTTATCATTTTATACTCAGTCTTGTAATATTCATTTCTTTGTGAAAATCTTCTATATCTTGGTCCCATCGCTTTTCAAAATAAACACCTGTTAATAAAAAAATCTAAATTGTATAAATATGTATAGAAAACTATAACTTTCTTTATATTTCATACCTTGTAAAAATTTAGAGTTATTCCCAATTGTAATTGCCCAAGGTAAATAATGTTTGAGGTACAGTTGTCTATGCTTTGGTTTGAGTCTTGCAGCTCCCCAGATTCCCCCACCTATGCACATTGGAAGTTTTGTTTGGATACCTTCTATCCATTTTACAGTGACCTAAAAATAAACTATACATTATTTAATTGCAAACGTTATAGGAAGCAGAAATTTATACAAAAGTAGTAGTTTGTTAGAAGTTAAAATTCTATAATAATATTCAAAGACATTATTTAGATTAACATGTTTACTAATAAGCAAATAGCTTACAATAATCATAAATAGATGTTAAAAAGAGTGGTTTGTGTATATCGTCTACTTACTTCACCAAGCATAGTAGTTTTCATAAATAAAATAGCATGTACTAAATCATGGACCTCTCTATATCTTTGCATAACATAAGCTAATTCTGGATCAGATATAAACTGTACTGGTAATCTCGAGTCTGCGGTAATATTATTGTCTGTCATAAAGTCTGCGTACACTCTGCCAATCGATCTTTCTGGCATTTTTGATAGAGTTTCAAAGCACACAGTTTGTGAGTTTATGCGTGGTTGTTCAGTTAATATTTTAGCACCTTCTGTTGTTTCAAACATTTTCCCTCGCATATACTTCAAAGAGCTTTCTCCAGTTATTTCTCCTAGGCAGGCTATCATATCTCCTCTGTATGGATTCAAAAGTGCAACAGCGGCTGATCCTACCGACAATATAGCTCTTTGAAAATTATTTGTTGGTATAAAATTCTTCTGCATTTCTTCCACAAATGATAATACCTTAGGTTGAGTATGGCAAAACTTTCTAATCATTATTGCTTTTATAAAGTTTGTTTAAAAATTATTAAATACTATCTATTTACTTCACCATAAATACATTTACTTTTGACAAATCATGTCATTGTCAAAGTGAAATGTCATAACAATCAAATAAAGCTACATGCTTTCCTGTCGGTCAAAATAAGTTTTTGTTTATTTTTTTTTATTACTGATAGATTTTAACGATTTGGTTAGAAAGAAATCTATGTTAAAAATTATAGTTGAGTTGTTTTAATGAATTTGATTTTAACTAGTCTGGTAGAAAGTATTCTAATTGGCAGTGGCGGCAAAATCGGTCTCAATTTTGTCGATTGATGACATTGACATCTGTCAAATCCAAATTTTGTATACAAAGTATTATTGTTAATTTAATTACATTGATTGGCAAAAGAAAATGCTATTATCCTTGTATTAAAACATCAAGTTGAGATTGTTTAAAATATTTCATTTGGTTGTTTTTTAGTAATATTTTTCAGTTATTTATATGCAATGGACGACTCAGTCCAACACTGTACTGATATTACAATACGTCCAATTACACCAAAAGTACAAAATAAAAGCGGAAGGCCAGTTAAATCAAAAAATGTCCAATTTGGACCACAACCTCTGTCGATTATTTCTCAGTTACTTCGAAAAAATGTAACTAACATAGTTAAGCATAATAATATTACTGTTGAAGCAACAAACAATATTGAGGATGATAAAAAAGTTGAAGAAACCGATTATTTATGTGTAATATGTTCATTGAGGTATGTATTAATTTTAAATTATTATAAATTAAATGTAGTCCTAATAACTAACAACTTATTTTGCAGAATGAGTGATAAAAAAGAATATAAAAAGCATTTAAAAGTTCATAAAAATTATTCCTGTAAATATCCTGAATGTAATTATACTACAAGATTATCATCAAATTTAATAAAGCATAAAAGAAAACATACATCAGAAAAACCTTTCTTATGTGACCAGTGCACTTTTCGGACAAATTTCATAAACTCTTTGAAGGTTCATAAAAGAATTCACACAGAAGAACGACCTTATGCTTGTGAACATTGTAGTTACAAATGCAACAGTAGTTCTAACTTAAAAAAACATTGCCATTATCGGCATTTGAAAACCATTTCTTAATTAATATTTTTAATGTAGTCTATTGTATGTAAATAATTGTTATGTTGTAAATATATCAATAAGTTAAATAAAGGTATAAGAAAAATAAATCATATTTGAATGTATTTAATATTCATCAAGTTACAACCTAAAATATATATAACTGGTATAAATGTAACTATATCACCCAAAAAGGCTGTCTTACTACAACATGATAACACCACAATATAAAACATTTTGTATTTTAAAAGCGAGGATACATAACCAACAATACTAGTGTGGCATATTGATCTTAATGGTCAGTGACAGTGTTCAGTGAAGTCCACCACAACAGATTCACGCCAACCAAAGAGGAAGTAACCGGTAGCAGATCCAAGCACCACGGCGGCGCACAACCAAGTGTTGTACGTCATGAACACCAACATCAACATATAGCTCACAAACACCTGAATACCGTGCAACACCGTCTGCCAGGCATGAGCCGAACTCATCATTGTGGGGCTGCAACAAATTATTAAAACATAAAATATAGGTGCAACCAGAAGGACTACTTAAAATAGATAAGCAAACTATTTGTAATAGGACCAATGATAGCTATCCCCACCCTAATTAAGGCACCCCCCTTAGTCTTGACCAAACTTAAGTCGTAGACTGACGATGACTATAAACTTTAAAAGAGACTTAATTAATTATCTACTGATGTGAATATTAATATAATTCAAGGATGGACAACATTTATGTATCAAATATTCTAAAGAAATGTTTGATGAGGATATAATTACAATGAGGATATGATTTTTGGAAGCAATCCATAGAATAAGGACAACTTTCATTTGCTTGTGATATAAAACCTACTTAACACTTTGATACATTTCATTCAATTCATTTTCATACTTAATAATTTTTTCTTAACAATACCCAATCCCTGAACTAGTTAATTACCCTGGACTTTCTTGATATGAGTTTAGACAATTTTACACAATCTATTAAATTATTTATAAAAATGGTTAACCAGTGACAATCAAAACAATGAAGGTTATGGATCTCATAGAATAGTAATTTAAATATTATAATAAAATATTGAACCAATTATACTAAAGTTTACTTACATATTCCGTTCCAATACATGGGGCATGGACCTTGAAACAATAAAAAAACGTAAACATATATACTATGAATGCTATTTTATTACAATATCATGTTTACTCAACTGTATAACTTGTGGTTCATCTGCAGTGCAAATATTAGTTACACCCTTATCAGGTGGGGCGACAGCGCAATACTGTAATCCCGTATAAGTTTTCCATAATAAATGTTTCCTGTAATACTTAAGCCTGCAACAAACATTTTAATGTACTTTTTTTTGTATAATCAATATCACAGTATCTTGTTGCTGAGAGTTTGAATCTCAACCTATGCATAGGCCTATTAATGTATTAATTTTAAATTAGGCATTGTTTTATGATCTACGTCTTTATGATAGCCTTTTTTCATCATCATCACCAGCTCATTATACATCCCTATTGAGGGGTTACATTTTTTTTAATAAAAGTAAATTTGCCTTTCAAGTCAACACTGAATTTATAATTGGTTTTTAGTCATTGTACTAAATGGTATTTCAGCCATATTACAATAATTCTAAAGGCAATAATTTATTTATACCTTCCACTAAAAAAGGTTTTTTTACCAACTTTAGAATAAAAATAGCTACTAGATGAGTCAATACAACATAAAGAAATTGTTTCTCAAAAAGATTTTTTGGAATAAGCATATTTTTTATTTTTTAAATTAGATTGATTCAATGAAATATAAATGGTAAAGTTATTGTTAAGACCAAGTTGAACAAAGATACCTTTATGGGAGCTATGTTTAAAAATTTTCACATAATATAATATCAATTATCAATATTTATATCTCCCACAAAGACACAGCAAATGGAATGTTTAAAAATATGACTCTTTGTTTACTGAAACCAACCTTTGTTGTGAAAATTCGTCGCCGAAAGGTATAAGGTGTCTTATTGTATTGTATAATCGCTGTAGTTAGAAGATTATAACATATTGTCCAGCAAAATTAAATTTTCCAAATTTAATTAGTTTAAAAAATGGTTGAAAACACACCAAATTGATGAATTTGATATTTGGATATTCTGAATTTGCCTAAGATTATTTCCTAGCTGAGAATTTGTTACTAAACCACTTAGATGTTTTCATATGAAACTGTTATTACAGGTTATTGAATACCTAGCACCTTTTTGGACAATAATAGATTCTTATATTAAATACTAAAGATAAAAATAAATTGATGTTACTGTACTAAAATTTCTTACCCTTCATACAGCAAAGCCATAATAAATATTGCTAAAAATGATCCAATAAATACTCCAATATCTGCCACAGTCCACCAAGAAAATAGAATTGTCTCTGTGTAGCCTCCATGGAACTACGGGAAAATTTTTATAAATCATATATCATACTCATATTTAAAATATATGAGTAAAACTACACAAACTCATTTTTTATCTGAGCAGTTGGATCATTCAGATAAATGTGATATGTGGTAAAACTGAGAACCAAAAAGTTCTCAGTATTGTTAGATATATCTGAATGATTATTTTCAAATATAACTGTGTGTAACTGACTTTATTCTTGGACCAGTACTTACTGTCATTGATTCCATTCCGTGTAATTCATGGCCTAAACTATGCTCTTCATGTTCACGAAACGCTTCTGGTGTGTTATTTATAATTAACTCCTGAAAATAACAATTGCATTTTAAGAAATTGTATATAATTAACATATACATTTGACCCTCTTTAAAGAATTATTAACTCTCATTAAATATACCAATATATCAACATTATTCATCTGTTTTTCAACACATTTTAAAATTTGCTTTTATATTAATGTGTTTAATGTTGTAACAAATATTTTTTTTATATAATATAAGGTGGCAAATGAGCAAGCGTCCACCTGAATCCACTGAAATGGAAAGCGTCTGCTGTCCATAATATTCGCAATTGTGTTGCCTACCCTTAATTTATGGCGGAGGCGACATTTAAAGAGGACATTTCCCTTCCTATGTGTTTCCTCCACCGTCAAATCCACTTTTCCTTCCCATCCTTTCCTCTTAAGAAAAGGGTGGAATAGGAAAAGGACTAAAATTAGGCCTCCGGTTAATTCTGTTATATCTTGTAGTCATTCTTTTAACCTCCCACTTAAGGGTATATTTTAGGATTAACAGTTTAATAGACGGAATTTTAAAATAACTAAAAAAAGGAGTGAATTTTAAAAAACATTGTTACAATGTCTTACAGTCAGGTCTTGTGTGGTATTCATCTGATGGTGTTGGTGATCTCCCAGAGCTTCATTATGGGCCATGTGATGTCCATGGTGGCCTGAATGGTCCATGTGCATATGGTCACCCATTTTAAATTCTGAAAAACCAATATAAGTTAAATTTAAAGAAAAAAAATGGTATAAACTTAAGTTGATGACTTATACCATAATTAAGTTTTTAAATATTTTAGTTACATGAAAGTTTTAATACAAAATTAATAAATTAATTGATCAATTATTAATAATATCCGGATATAAAGTAATGGTTTTTTCTATTGGAGATTATTTCATTAATATTTTTTATGACAGTAACAATTACAAGACTTTCAAGAAATGTATTTTGTAATCAAATTAAATGTTACAAATTATTACACATAAAAAAAATAAAAATATATAAGCTAGAAAACTATAGACAATAGATCCAGTTTAAGAATAATGCAGCAGTTTTCGCAAAACACAAGTTTTAAATCATTGTTATTTTTTAAGAACTCAATTGTATAAGATATGTCAATTAATTATGAACTATGTTTCATACCGTTCAGTTATGAAATCCACAAAAATAATTTCTTCGTTACTATAACGCGTATGCACTTTCACTTTCGTGATAAACCTTGCAGGCAAGTCTGCTACACTTCACGAACTTGTTGAAAGTGCTGCATACTTCGCTCTAATATAGGTTCTAGCTGTATCATTTATGTAATTGCCGTAACAAACGCTTACTTGTAAATTTAAATGCGTATGTGGCACTCAGCGATAAACAGCTTGTAAATTCATCACTTCACATATAAACTTGTTGCAGCAAAGTTATTATTGTGTTACGAAAAAAATAATCAGTAAATTAAATCAACTTCAACATAACATTTCCCATGATTTCGTTACCTACCAAAGAGTAAATAACGCAACCATTTTCATTTTTCGTCCAAAGCAAAAAACTACCAAAATATACAGATTACGGGTTACAGTAAAATTGTCAAACTCAACTCAGATAGCCTGTCTATGTCTACAGATCAACAGTTGTAGGGTAGATATTAAATATTTTCCGACAGGCCATCACTAAGAACAATTAGCGAACCTTGGGCCAAGGATTCTTTTGTTTCGACAGTCCAGAAATTTCACCGTTACTAGCATAATGTGGATGGTTTGTCTTTGTGGCAACGGACTAAATGTATAGGAATCACATGTTGCTTATTTTAGGAAATTATTATTTAGTCTGATACCCGTTTCTTTAGCTTGCGGTTTTTAATCTGTCTAAGTTTGACGACTTTTGATTAAAATAGGTAGGTATATTTTCTAATGACCATGATGACTATACCGGAATTAAAAATGGAATTCTAATGCCCGAATGCATATGCAGCTGGATAGAAAGCTTTGTTGGTAGATTGCTAATAAAGCGGTTGTATAATTTCAACCGCTTTCTGGAACTCATTGTTACCGTAGTCTTCACAACTTGAAAGCTTATATTGTAGCATATGTATGCTAGACCTGCTCTACCAACCAATTTTACTGGCCAAGTCTGGACTAGGCTTTAATTTAAACATTCTCTTTAACGAAAACGAAACGAAAATGTATATAGGATTTTATATTTTAATAAACTTATATCAGTCGGAAATAGGGCCCCGTAACCTAGAAAAGCGCACAGAGTTTATGGATTGGAATTCCTTTTACAATTAATTTTAAAATATGTTAGCAACCTCTACTAGATCCGCCTATATAGAAATAGTATGATTGTTAAATTATTATTTTTACCAAAAACTACCGTTGTGACTACATCATGTATTGAATTCTTATAAGATAGTGATAAATGCGGAAATCATTTTAAAATATTGATTTTATCGTTCATTTTAGACATTTAATTATAAATTATTTGCTATGCAAAATGTTTACAAAACTAACAAAAAATAGAAAGATAAAGTACTAGCAATACGCAATTGACCATAAACATTAAACGATTTTTATTCTGATGCATAGTTTGGCTGGAGGGCGCCACTTGAACGAAATTCGAACAACTTCGTGAGCTAGATTTACTATGGAAGCTGAAAACCTAATCTTCCGAGACTGAATCCTATGATTGCTATGAAACCTTATATCATCGCTTTACAAAAATTAAAATATCCTGGTTTTACACGTTTTTCGATGCTGTTATTTCAATATTTCTTTTCCAGAAAGAATAAGTGATAAATGAATTTTAGGTATGACTAGAGACGCTCGTCACTCGCTTCATGTTTGGCCGCCATGTCTGAAGCTCGGCTGTAACCTTAGAGTTCGGGTTGTGCTTTTCTTTGTTGTATAAAAAAGACAGTGGTTTTTGTTAGTTATAGACAATGAATTACTATATTTAGTTAATTAATATGAACTTTGATATATGTGGAGTGTTTGATGAATTCAAGCAATTCGATAGAGTTAACTTTTGCAGAAGTTACTCAAACATCGTATTTTTAGTTCATCCGCCATATTGGCGTTAATATCCTTCGTAAGTCTTTTTTCATAATTATTTGGCTTTACCACAAATTTATTGTTGTATTTTATGCTATTTTGTTGCCCTATTGATAGGACTATCGTATGTGTAAAAGTAGAGCGTGCATGTTGCGAATAATAAGTAATATTTGAACTTTTCGTTTTGGCCTCTGTACCAGTAATTTTCACCAAATCTCCACTAGCTTATTTGTTCTTAAATAAGTTCATAATTTGAAATTTTACTTTATATTTTATTTTCGCATTAAATACACATTGAAATATTATGTTACATATGTTTTGCAAAGAGATTATATGAATTTTGAGTGCGTGCATTCTCTTACTGGAATCTGGAATTAAAAACATAATTATACTGTAAAATATGCTTATAAAGTTCTAAATATATACATTTTATAATCACAACAACTTTTTATTCTACTGTTTACCCTTTGAAGCCCTTACACCATGATTTGTAATTCTGTTGAAAATCAGTCGTAGAATGTTCTAGACAGACGCCAGTGTCCATAATGGCAAAAGCAATATTAACTTCTTATTAAATTCATTCATATTTGATTTAGATAATCACCAAAACATTGCTGATTATTATCATGTATTTGAGTGTTCAAATCAAAGTTGCATGAAGAGCATTTATCCATGCCTGAATTGGGTAATTTTAATGAAATTTTGGTGCAACTTCTGTGATGGATTATTTATAAAACAAAAAAAATCCGAACATCAACAATGATACAATTTAATACATGGAACATAACCTATAGCAGATTTATTAAATGAAAACAAACAATATTAAAATAATGTCTACTTAGTAACGGTTATTGCCTGGAATAAAACATTTAGGTTATACAATTATTTATCATTTTAGTTTTTTTTTTTCGATTACTCTTTTACACCTACTTTAGTTTTGTTTCATTACTAGAGGGTAATGCTATGTATTAGAACTATGAGTTGAAAATGCTATATTATATGTTTTTGGTGATGGTAATTAATGTTTTCATATACTGAATAAGTTTTTTCAAACAGTTTATGAATTTAACTATAAAATTATTATTTATAGCTTAAAATTGGTCTTTATTTGTTGCAAAGTTTGAGGAAAGTCATAATTTTGTTATTGTTGTAGTGCCCTTGAATGATAAACTGTGTTTATTAAACGGAGATAATGAAGCTTTCACCATTTTATTAATAAATAAATGCATTTGAGTTGTTAAGCTTTATTTATAATATTTAATAAATTTGCCTTTAATTCAATTCCCAACATATTAAATTTATAATTGCTGTATTACAAAAATCAAAATTAGCAAAAGATTTACTTTAATAAATGAAAACATGTTTGTTTCATAAATATCGATTTGTACTCCGAAGTGTATGTGTGAATAAAATGCTTATCTGGAAATAGCATAGGCAGAAATATGTCTAATTTAGAAAGGCACGGTTGCAAAGTGATAGGTAATTCTAAAGCCTATTACTAGCTTTGTATGGGTAAAATAATATTTCAACGTTAAATAAAATTAGTGTTAATCAATATTGAGATTAAAAAAAAGTTTGTTTATGTATAGAACTTAAATGATAAAAATGGTAATTCCCAAAACCTTGATGTAGTAAATATGGCATTATTCAAGATAAGTAAATGAGACAATATAAGAAATAGAGTTTATCAACTTTATAAAAGCCAAACAACAAATTATGGGGTGTCCATTCTAAATAAATACTTATATTGTAAAGATATATTATTAAAGCTTTAGGTGATTAGTAAATATTCATGTTATTATTAAATTTTAGCTTCTTTCAGTAGCATCTAATCTATTTTTTTTTATTTTCAGATGTGGATCCCATCTTGATTTACTTATTAAATACATTTTACAATATCTGACTTCCGTTATCTCCCTGGGTTTAAACGCAGCCCTAGGTAAATAGTGTAACAATTAATTTCAATATTTTTAAAATCTGGTACAATTTTAATATATCTTGTGTTTTCTATTTTAGGGCATTTTAGGTTATAATAGTTTAATGGTTGGATTGAGGTGGTACTAGGGTGCAACCGCACCTAAGAATTTATTATGATAGAATGGTTTAATGTTATAAGAGGGTTTAGCTGATGCCTCTTAGTCAGAAACTGGATGAACCTCTTGTAACGATTGAGGTGAGCCTATATTGTTTCAACACATCTATGGCTCCTATGTAAACTGTCATGGTTCAAATGCAATTTATGCATGACAACTATAAAATATTGTGTTTTAACAAATGGATTCTTTGCATTCTTCTTTTTAGTGTTATTTTAAATTTACACAAAAATTCGTGTTTATCAAGTCTTTAGTATTCAGTATTTAGTAAATTTTTATGACAGTCTATATGGGAGGCCATTGATATTTTCCCCTACAAAATAAATATTATACTTAGTGCCTGTCCCACCACTGGATGATAGATCAGATAGCTTAAAAATGATGTCACTGTTAGATAAGGGAACAAAGTCCGATATTTTCATCACATATTTTAACATATTCGATTGTTATCAGACAATTTACAATTTGGTGAGGCAGGCCCTTAATACTATATAGTACATAAATGTCAGGTTGTAGAAAGTGGATTATGATTAGTCAAATGTACAATTATTTGTTTAGATATGGTTACAATGTAGAGGTTATGTTTGATATGTATATGTGTATATGTACTATAGTGTTTGGGTAACTTTGGTAGGTAGATTGCAGACTCCAGCACAATGCAGCAGGCTGTGGATCCTCTCGCAACTACAAGTACTGTAAGTATTTTCTATAGATATACAAAAATTTATAAATTTAGTAACATAATCCTTATCTTTTTAATTTTTTATGGGGTGTTTTTAATATTCTTTTTATTGTAGCCAATGGCAGAACCTGTCAATGGAGCACCACCAGAGGACACGCCGCGGCGGCAAGGCCGGATAACGAATCAATTGCAGTTCCTCCAGAAGAATGTGATCAAGGCAGTTTGGAAACATAAGTTTGCATGGCCATTTCATCAGCCCGTAGATGCAAAGAAGCTAAACCTCCCAGTAAGTATATTGAATATGTTGTATGTATTGTATATGTATTGTACTTGTATATGTATTGTAATATGAAAAAAAAACACGATATTCAAACTACAGTGAATATAAATATTTGGTATGTCACAATTTACTATATGTCAAATTAATTTATTTCAGGATTACCATAAAATTATAAAAAAGCCGATGGATTTGGGTACAATTAAAAAGCGTTTAGAGTCAAACTACTACTACTCGGCGCAAGAATGTATCCAAGACTTCAACACAATGTTCACCAACTGCTATGTTTACAACAAGCCTGGAGAGGATGTGGTTGTTATGGCACAAACCTTAGAAAAATTGTTTTTGAACCGGGTGAGTGTTTTCTGATTCTTTTCTATAGGAAATGTTATGTTATGAAAAATTAAGCAAAAAGTAAAACTCTTAATTGGTCCTAAGAAGCTTAAAGTTGTAAATTGAAAAAACCTTGAGTGATTGATATTCTTATTCAAGTTAATTATTAAATAACAGTTAACCAAACTCATTAAAACTTAATCCTATAAGACTTTAGGGCTTGATTACGTCTTGCGATGATTTGCTTTAGGGAGGATTGTAATCATACTTCATACTAATATTATAAATGCGAAAGTTGAGATTGATGGATGGATGGATGTTTGGTAGAGTTTGTAGCCTAAACGGCTGAATGGATTTCGATGAAATTTGGTATAGACGTAGAGGATAGTCTGGAAGAACACACAGACAACTCACTTTTGTTCTTTGTTAATTTCAAGCGAACGGAGTCGCGCGCGAAAGCTAGTGAAACAATAATGTTAATAGTGCAATAATTTTGTGTTGTACAGATAGCGCAAATGGACAAAGAGGAAAAGGAAATCGAGGTACCATCGAACAGTGCGAAGGCGGCCGTGAAGAAGCGAACGAGCGGGTCTGTGGGGTCGGTGGGCAGCGTGGGCAGCGTGGGCGCGGTGGGAGGCGTGGGCGCGGCGGCGGGCGGCGCGGTGTCGCGCGCGGCCGTCAAGGCGGTGCCCAGCACGCCGCTGCCCGCCTTCGTGGGCTCCACCAACACCACCACCACGGCCGCGCTCTCCGCCGCCGCGCCCACGCCGCCCGCCACGCACACCGGACTGCCGCAGCAGGTCGGTTTCTGATAAACTATCTTCTTATTAATGTTATAAATTCAAACTTTTAAATTGATTGATAGATAGATATTTGTTAGTTTCACACCTAAATGGATGAATGGATGGGGGTAAATTTGGCATAGATAAAGCAAAGTCTGAAAGAATATGTAGGTTACTTTTGTTTTTTAGCTTTTTGGTTATACTTTTTCTAGGAATTTATCCTTTCGTGGTTGGTCGGTCGAATACTGCAACAAATGAATAAGGCCATGCTTAAACTCTAAATTCCGTTAAAAAATTGACGGTTGTCTGGTTGTTAGCATCCTTTATGAAGCGAAGTGTGATTTGTGTCAGCATT